ACACACACTAACACACTCACTAACAGACACACACACACACATTAACACACTCACTAACAGACACACACTAACACACTCACTAAAAGACTCCAACACACACACACACAATAAAAAAATTCAAGTTCAATCCACTCAACCTTCCTACCTTTGGGAGTGCTGGAGTGGATTCTTCCCTGTGGTCCAGTGGGGCTGGCTGCAGCTCGGCAGTTAAGCAGGCACAGAGTGGAGGTGGGCAGCGAGGGAGCTCTGATCCTCCTGCTCAGCTCCCTCGTGCGCCTCTTAGTGATGTCATATTTCGGCTCCGTCATCACTGCGGTGCATGTGGGAGCTCAGGGGAGAGTGCTCCCTTGCTGCCGGCCTCCTTCATCAGGAGATGCCAGCCTTGGGGGGCTCTAAGGTTGTGAGCCAGTCAGCTCTTGGTCCCCCAGGACAAGAGGCTGGCAAGGCATCTGCCAGGGCGATTGGGTGGTGGCTTTTTTTGCTGCCCCCCTGAAAATGCCACCCAAGGCAAATGCCTTGTCAGCCTCGTGCTAGATATAGTGCTGGCTGTATGTAATGTGTATGGTCATGTTCTGTATAGCCCCCTCTTGCTTGGGTTTCTTCAAGGAAGGGAGGTTATAATCCCTGGTGGTCCAATGGGGAGGTCATACTCTCTAGTGGTCCAGCAGGACTTTACTCCGAAAGGTGCTCTAGTGGGGGTCCTGAGTCCCTGATGGTCCAGTGGCAGAGCTTAAGATTTGCACTACTAGCAACTTCGGGCGGAACCCCCTCCTCCTACCCCCTCTAAACACACCTAAGAGAAGCTCCACCAATCAGGAGAAGCTCTTGTTCTGGTCTGTGATGTCTGACATTATCCCATAAGTGTCTATTTATCAGGGATTTATGAGTTAAGTAGTTTATCCCCCAGTCTATGTAGCATTTTCCACATAAGATAAATAGGAATGCTTTATATAGTAATGGCAGCTATACAGAGGTTACTATCAGGTTAAACATATATGGGTTCCCAGTTTGCAGTTATCCAAGGCGATGGGAGAGATCAGTCAAAGTTGCACATGTGCATGTTTTAAGCACAACCTGGACTACATTGTCCTTAGCAGGGCTGCTATTTTATAACTGCAACCCTTTGTACCCTCTGTATCATCAACATGGCAGGTGTTCGGTGTGCACATAGAGGTCACATGTAACTGCCTATCATGAAAACAATACATATTGTTCACACAGGCATTCGAGCATTCCATCCACAATGCACAAATATTCTACATGAAAAGTGTTGACCTAAAGTTTGGAGAATTCATATGTTGCAACACATATTAAGCACATATTAGCATTTGGTTATTTACTTGGTTAAGCATTTGGTTATTTAATTGATTTTCATCTTGCTGCACAAAGTGCATATAGACTCTACATCAGGCTTCCCCAAACTGCGGCCCTCCAGATGTTGCTGAACTACAACTCCCATGATTCTATGAATCAAATAGATAGGCTGAGAATCATGGGAGTTGTAGTTCAGCAACATCTGGAGGGCCGGAGTTGGGGGAAGCCTGCTCTACATGTTGTGTCACTTTTCATGTATTTTCCTATAGCATATAGAATTGATATACATCTGAACAGGGAAGATCTTAAAATCTCACTTACATTTTAAATATGCATTTGACACACTTTTAGGATTTATCACTAATCTAAAATGAAATTTAGAGAAAAACAACAGATCTGAAAACCATTTCCAACTTGGTTTGAGTATATTTGCCTTAATTTTGCAGTCTGGATTTTCATATGCCATGACTAAAGTGAATAAATGCCGTTAATCCCAAAAACCTATTATTTAGCTCTTTGCATTTAAGCTCTATACATTTATTCACAAATTCTTCATTATATGTATCTGTCTCTGGTAATGGAAGTGAGGTTGCATTAATACATGTGGTGGTTGCAGTGGCTTGGCAAGGCCTATAACAGCAAACTCCTACATATATTTATTAATCCACAGGTTAGTCTAAACGGGACACTTATGGAAAAAGCAGCGAATTAATTTGGACCCCTTGGTTAGAGTCACATTCAGGGAATGGAGACCCCTGCCCCTTCTATTTGTTTAGTAACCCCATCCACATTTTTTCCCCCTCAGTCTGTCTATTTTTTTCCCCTCCACTTCTTGCCTCTCTGATATTGCTTTTTTTCCTCCCCCCATTTTTCTTCATGTTTTTAACATTGTGAGGTTACAATAGCTAATAATTAAATATGACAGCATAACTTTAGGCTTTGGAAAATATTCTTTATTGCATTTCACATTATTTTAATGTTTTACATTTTGTTCCAATGCTGTACACACAACACATGAGCCCTATGACAAGGAGGTCCAAGACAAATTAACACCGCCTGTCTGCTAAACAAAATAGCATATTGATTTCAATTGTTCAATACAGCCCTAGGAGATCCCTTCACCTTTGTTAGAAAGGAAATGACTAATATATATTTATACATTATACTCAGACACCTTTCCTCTTATTTGGTGCAGACTCCTAGCTGCAATTCACAGCAGTTGCAAACACTACATTGTAATTAAAGTGACATAACATGTTCCACTTCACAATCCTTGTTACTATATTTCCTATAAATGGAAACAATTGCAACATATATAATCAAACTATCTCCCCACAAACATTTTTAATAGCCTGCTGTTATTTACTCTTGATTTAGGGGGTAAATCTTGTTACTGAAAGAGCTCCCTCTAGTGGATACATATTGATGTTACACTGGTAAACACATTACCTGAAGCTCCATCGGTGAATAGACCATTGAGCAAACTCGGATAGAAAGAAGGTGTGAGAGTTCTCTAAATTTTTATTACGAAATACATTACAGAACAGGTAGGTTTAAAACTAACATTAGAAATTTCAGAAAAAAAATATTTAGCTGTGTTTGCTTAACATGTAGGAAATCATTCTTGTTCTAGTGGTTAATTTAGTTATATCAAGGTTTTTAGGAAACAATCTTTAGCACGTCTTTGAATTCCTTATAATAATTGCTGCAACCATGTTTATTTAACAATGAAACATTTTCCAAATTCCTGTAGGCAAGAGCCATGGATTCAGGTAAAAGATGATACAATGAGGGACCAATAACACCTCTATTCAGATCCTCTAACAAACCTTTCATTGTTATAGAATCTGCAGTACCTTCTCTTCGCCAGCAGATGGCACATGAACAAAGACCCCAACTTAACCACTTTGTGTCTGAATGCACATTCAGTCTAAATTCTATTTGGTGAGAATTAAACACTTATACACATAACTAAATGTCATTTTTTTATTTTAATTTTTTTAAAAGTGTTAATTTCTTCTAATTGAAGGAATGTAAGAAGTATAGTACATTGTAAACATATAGGGGTCATATTTTCCATAGCAAGTGTATAACATTTGAAGATGAATACAATAACATTCAATCAAAGGGTTAATTTCACATCTTCAATGTTATTTTAAGTTTAACCTTAGTTTATTTTCTAGTCTGTGAATTGGAAACCACATTTAATAAATGCAACTTTTATATTGATGTTTAAACTTGTTTTTCAATGTACACCACTCTATTTTTCAGTGGATACATTTCAGAAGACTAACATTACAGAAGGAAGATTTTTGCAAGTGTTTTGCTTTAATTCATATAAATAGATTTCAGAACAAGTGACACTGAAAATAGCTGACATGAAAATGTAATACAATGACACATTTTAAAAATAGGGTTTACCTTGAAAAAGAGTGCAACTCCGAATACTTTAGGAATTATTCACTAAATAGTGAATTGTGGAAAGTAAAAAACTGAATTACGCAATTCAGAGTAAAATAACCAAGCTGTATCTATATCCCAGTTAGATATTTTTTTATTGATCTGATTTTATAATGTGGATTTCAAATAATTTGTTGCTCTTCTAATAACCATCCAAGTTATGGTACACAAATTCATTTAGATATAGCATTGTGTTATATATATATATTTTTTATTTTGACTATTTGTTCCCGTAATTTTATTTCTAAGACATTCTTTGTTTTTCCGTTATATTTTCAACAGTAAAAGTGTATCACACTTTGGTTTTCCTCTTCCAATGAAAGGTTAGATTGTAAGCTCTTAAGGCAAGAGATCTGCATTTTGGTTGTACATAAGTAAATTCACATGGATTGTTTGTTTTATGTTTCTTATATAGCACCTTTTACCATATACATTGCTTTAATGTAATCGCTGTGTGACTATCCTGGCACCACCTAATTTACCAACTTTCCTGCTTGATTGTAAGCTCCGCAGCCCACAGGTGTCCATGCTCCTTATTTATTTGCATTTTTCTTACATTTGTCTCTTTGTTTTCTCTTTGGGCAACACAATAGAATATAATAGTATCTTTAAAAGAAAAAACAATATATGAATATGTTCATACTTACATAGAATTAATTGAAGGCTGGTATAATCATCCAATTCCAGCAAATGACAACTGTGGACTGTTGTCCCCTCTTAGTACGTTTGTTTCAGGTGCTCAGTTAAAGGAGAATGGGTGACAATGAGTGCATGAGAAGGGGACATCAAATGAGATACTGTGTATCTTACACTAAATCAACCAAGTCTCTGAGATAAATGACAACTGACTTAGACAACAATGCTCTTTTTCTTTATGAGGGCTGTCTGTTAGTTTAGACTTTTTAAAATAAATGTTGATAAGATCTCCCTAGTCCAGCAGCTGTGAGTGAGCTTCCCAGCCCTATCACAACCACTAGCCAGGATTCACACTGCACATCATTTGGAATGTCTGACAGGCAATGCATAGGAAGCACAGAAAATTAAAAGGAATACACACTAGTCAAAAAAAGCCAAGGAACATGGAAAGGGAGGGGCAGTTAGCTGGGTGGTAAAGTGATAAACCTGCCCCCTGTCAGTAATACAGAACAAAACAGGAAAAGCATCTAAACAGAAAGTTCAGACCTCCATCCCTGATAGGCACTAAAGGGTGGATACTAGTTTGCTCACTGTGATCCAGTTCTGTAAAGTTAATTTGGAAAGAGATTGATGTGAAGCAAAAAAAAAAAAAAAAAAGAGCCAGGAATGTGTGCAAGTGGAACAGGATCTGAATGTCACATTTCAAGGTATTTTACCTGCTGAGATCTGCTCCTCTCTGCCTATTATCTCATGAAGGGTTTGCAAACACAGAGCAATATGACAGCAGCGACATACAAATTCTGCAGATCTTATTCTTCAGGAAACAGGTGAATACTTTGCTGCTGGGAGGATTTTTTTTTATTTTTTTTTGAAAATTTTCATATTTTTGCTTGATTTTTTTATTTTTTGGACACAAATTTTGTTTCTTTGTTGCTTTTGTTTCTGGTTCCAAACTTAAACCAAGTCTGAGAGAAGACACAACAGGGATGGTGAAATTCTGATCACTACTAGTGCCTGTCTGCCTCACCCCCTCATCACTTAACTACACGTGTGACCCGCATACAAATCCCCAGTACCCCTCAGCAAGGAGGCAGAGGAGAGGGGGTGGGAGGTCCTCTCTGGCTGGACATGGTGAATATCCCTTGGGATTTACAAACACTTACTGACTGATCTGGGTGCTCACAATATTAAAAGGGGGCTGGTGTGTCTGTGATACCTGGAACTGCCCTGTCTGGGACCAACAGGAACCCCCCCTCCCAATCTGTCAGCTCTGACGTCTAGAGTGGACCCTGCAATCCAGGAATATGAACAAGAAGACCAGACGCTGGATCTTTCACATCTTTCTGAGTCTGGGGATTGTCTACATCAAAATTGGGTAAGTAACGTAATGTCACAGACAAAGACTAAAGAGCTACTGACAGGGGCCAGTGATTAAACACAAAGGACCAGTGACAGGATCTAGTGATGAGAGTTAGGGAAGGAATGGTGGTAGAGAAGATTAAGTAGGAATCAAGGAGCAGTTGTCAGGAATCACATTTCATTGCCAGTAATCAGAAGCCCAGTAATAGGGGCCAAGACCATTAATCAGAAGCCCAAGGTCAGTGACTCGGGGACCCAGGAAAAGTGTCAGCCATATAGAATCATTGTTACAGCAAGGTAGCCCATATTCAGAGGCTCAGGGGATTATTATTAGTGACAAGGGCCAGCACGCACTGAAAGTTTCCTGGGTACTTTGCCATTCATTCATTTGAAACATTAAGTAAAAACTGTGATTTCCTTCCTGATCCCTCAGAATACATCTGGCGGCAACAGGTAACGAGAATCCCAGTACTTCAAAAAGCATCCAGCAGCTGGATATACAAAACTTCTTATACCTCACTTTATGTCCAACAGCTGCAGGTTCTCTAAGGAGCCATCTAGTACCTGTAGGTACGGAGCTCCATAATCCCTTATCATGCATCCAGCTGCAAGTACAGGTCTCCCTAATCCCTTATCATGCACCCAGCTGCAGGTACAGGTCTCCCTAATCCCTTATCATGCATCCAGCTGCAGGTACAGCTCTCCCTAATCCCTTATCATGCATCCAGCTGCAGGTACAGGTCTCCCTAATCCCTTATAATGCACCCAGCTGCAGGTACAGGTCTCCCTAATCCCTTATAATGCATCCAGCTGTAGGTACAGAGCTCCCTAATCCCTTATCATGCACCCAGCCGCAGGTACAGGTCTCCCTAATCCCTTATCATGCATCCAGCTGCAGGTACAGGTCTCCCTAATCCCTTATAATGCATCCAGCTGTAGGTACAGAGCTCCCTAATCCCTTATAATGCATCCAGCTGCAGGTACAGGTCTCCCTAATCCCTTATAATGCACCCAGCTGCAGGTACAGGTCTCCCTAATCCCTTATAATGCATCCAGCTGTAGGTACAGAGCTCCCTAATCCCTTATTATGCATCCAGCTGCAGGTACAGGTCTCCCTAATCCCTTATAATGCACCCAGCTGCAGGTACAGGTCTCCCTAATCCATTTTAATGCATCCAGCTGTAGTTACAGAGCTCCCTAATCTCTTATCATGCATCCAGATGCAGGTACAGAGCTCCCTAATCCCTTATCATGCATTCAGTTTATTATGGTACAGAGCTCCCTAATCCCTTATCACGCATGCAGCACCTGCAGGTACAGAGCTCCCTAATCCCTCCTCCCTTATCATGCATCTAGCTGCAGGTACGGAGCTCGCTAATCCCTTATCATGCATCCAGCTGCAGGTACAGATATTTATGATCGTACAGCATGCACCCAGTAGCTGTATGCAAAAAGCTTCATATTGTCTGATGATGTCCCCAATAGCTGCAGGTGCAGAGATTTCTAATCCCTTAGTGTAAATACCGTAGTTTGTGGTACATAATTTTGTACTTAATAGATACCCTGCAACTGCAGTTACAAAGTTTCCTAATTCCTTAAATTGCATTTTACAGCTGCAGGTAATGAGTTTCTCAGCCCCCAGGATGCATTTAGTTGCTGCAAGGGCAAAGTCTGACCCCTCAGGTGCATTGCACGAGTGCAGATACGCAATTTTATATTACCTTCAAGCAGTTATAAGTACAGGGTTTCTTTATTGACTAACATGTACCCCACATCTGCAGGTGGTTGGAAAACATTATTGTTAATGTAACTGTGCACATGCAAATACCAGACTATATATATCTCATGTATCATAACACGTGTACACCACATTGCTTTACCTGTATCTGCATGTGTGTAATAGTCATTGGTATGTGCTCAGTGTACCACTGCATGTCTGCTGGTGGGAGTTACCACAATGAGTTCTCAGTGAATGAGACATAGTACTAACTTCAGGTCCCTCACCGACTGTATTACGTGTATATATTAATCAGTGATATTAATCCAAGGATTGATTTCTGAGAAAGATAGTTGCTAACAGCTAGACTATGGCTCGTTCTGTTTTCCCCACAAGGAAACAGATATTCAGGCATTGATTGAGTTGGGTTTACAGGATCTCATCTGATTTACTGAATTAATTGATTCTCAGACATCACTGAATCAATTAATTATATCTGAAGGGATTCATTAGTTTTTATGGACCAATAATGTTCCACTCCGGAGGTTTCTCTAGAACGCCAAGGAATGTATTTTCTTGATCTCTATAGATACGTTGGTCGTGTCTGTTTCTGGACTCACTTTTGAATGAGTTTACATGGTTTCGAGAGATCTACTTTGTAAATTTTCTTGATCTCCAGGGATATATGTATAATGTTTTCTGGATATGTAATGGTAGATTGGGGGCAAGATGCTCTGAAGAATGGGTTTGATGGGTCTTTCAAGATCAACTAAATAAGTTGAGTTTTTTTTTTATTCATTTTCTCCAATTTTGGATTTAATTTGGGAAAATTCAAAGTTTAGTGAATAATCCTCTTAGTCGCTCACCAACACATTTGTCAGTTTAATTCGAGTGAGTTGTATTTATATGTTATGTTATACATTATATATCCAACTGTTTTATTTTCTTGGCTTATAAACTAATGTTAAAATAAACCAGAGCTTGTGGCAGATTTGTTTTAGAATATCTATTGCAAGCCGTCAAAGTGTGCGTTTCAGGACTGCAACTCCAATAGTTCTCTGAAAATCTGCTCAGCACTGTTTGTCCAAGTCAAGAGCTCTTATATTCTAAGTAGACTTACATCCTTTCCATATTTCTGCTCTTACTCTCTTTAATTTATAGTTCAGGATGTTTCTTCACTTTTTGGCAGGGGACACAAGTTTTTTTTTTTAAATCTGTGTTATAATTATAGAAAAAAAAACTAACTGATAGGGAAAAGGCGAGGTTTTGATGGGCATACAATTTACACAATCTTTCCTCCGTACGTCATATGTCTTTATTATGGACTGCCTCTAGGAAGGGTTACAAACTTTTACTGACTGATGATAATGTGTATAGTGAGAGCTAGCAGACCAAATAAATAACATGGAGTGAACTGTAACACAGGCAAATATTTTATTCTCTTTGCTATTTAAAGTTAAAAAAAAATCAATGAAGGAGACAGGTTAGGGATTAACCACGTGAGTGTGATTATTATCTATAAAAAAACACACACACACACTCTCCCTCTCTCTCGACTGTGGGACATACATGTCACAGCCTGCCCAAGATTAATGTGAGTCACACTCCTAAACTATTTGTGGCCTCTGATATTAAATCAGTCCATCTCCCCTGCCTGCATACTGGCTGCATTTCCCAGGACATACTTGAAAACGAGGGAAATCTCAATGTATCTTTCCTGGTAAAATATTTTATAAATATATAAATACTGAGAACAGTGCTTGGGGGAGAGAGAGGGAGTCTGTCACTCTCTAATCCTTATCCACAAAACTTGTGCAAGGAGGGAGCTGCATTAATGACAGCAGATACAGTCTTGGAGTGTGACTCTGATCAATCTTGGGCAGGCCAGAAAGAAAGACTATAAGAGCAGTGCCTTGCTTCCTGAGCTAACCTTGTAAGAGATTTTTTTTTTGTAATACTAAAGTGGCCATGGTATTTGGAGTAATCCTTTAACTCACTATGCTGAATTATACATTTTATGTCAACTGAAAATGTTTTGTGTTACTTCTGAAAGAATGATGCATGATATTTGAGCCTGTTCATTGTCTATCTTTAGTAAACATGATGCCATTAGAACATTAAATGCAAATGCCTGTCAATGCCACACATCCTTCTGCCATTCACACCGTCCCTCATGCAGTGTACATTGATAACTGTGACTGGACTGCAAAACTAACTAGGCACCACATTATGGTAGGTTCGTATATGGCAAAGCATACCTCAATGTCCTACTTCTCCAGCTTTAAACCAGTCAATTAACAGCTAAAATTGGTACTTGGTACTGAAGGCCACTTGGGCATGAGTGCAGGCTAACCGAGCAAGAATTAACCATAAGGTGACTCTAGGTAGCCATATAGTGCCCACAAGTTAGACAGGGGCCCCGAACGGTGACTTTGCTTGTCCCCATCAACCTACCCTACGTGAATAATGAAAAGGGGGTCCTAAGCAGGTGACCTGCCTGTGGGATCTTAATCCTCTGGTGACTAGGAACAAAGGTTGCCACCTTAAAGGTTTGCCTGTAATTGTTTACCAACCTGTAATGAGGCACTGGCTGCATGAATAACACACTATATGAAGAATAGATGGTTTAATTTTCTGTAGCGTGAAGAATTTCAGTGATTTCCCAAGTTTACCCTTTAGCTCACAAGTAGCCCAGGGACTTTTGGAAAAAAAAAGGAAGACTTATTAGAAGAATTAGGAAAGGGGCTATTAGTCTAACTCTTCCGTTAGGTTGTAACTAATGTATAAAGTTTGTTAAATAATGTAGACAGATAGGATATGAACCAAAACAAGGGGTGTCAATATGGTTCATATTTCCTTCATACTTCCTTCAGACGAGGGGGAGAATGTGCTAATGTATAGGTTGGGCAACGTTTTAAATCTTATCCTCACGTGAACTCCCACAAATAAGGTTCTGTATAGTCTTGTAAGGCAAATTCAGCATGAACCTACCCAATAGTTCTATATAAAATAAGATATTTCTATCCAATTATTTCCAGGATATTATTAGTTTTTTTTCTATGCTGCCTAAGCGTTTTAGGAATATATTTATAAATAGAATTATATATCACATGTTTAAAGGGTTACTCCAAGCATCATAACCACCACTACTGCCGTTCCACATTAATTGTGCAAACCGTTTTGCAACAACCCTCTTACCTTGGTCCTGCCAGATGCTGGACTCCTCTCCTGCTGGCTGTGATGACATTTGCCTTCTGCATCAAAGGAATTAAACTATGCATGTGCAGCATTTCATAGTAAAATGCTACATCTACAGACTCCCAAGACCATAACCACTTCAAATCAGTGAAGTGGTCATGGTGCCTTAAATAACCCTTTAATCTTCCAGACTGACAGAGTTTAAAAAAATGTTTATATCCGATAAGATTAAATATACTAAAATTCAACTGATTGTTAATGGTCTGTATGAAACACCTTTAACTAAACTTAGCGAATTTTTTTTTTTTTTGTCACTGTATTTTTAGAAGTTGCACTGTTCTAGGTGTTTTCATGACCGATAGAAGGCTAGTTTCTGCAGTATTCTCAGCTAAACAGGTCACATTTCGCTACCAAGCACGTCATAGGCAGCCATCGATACAGTCCAGCCACTAAAGTAATCTGAATCCAGCCGCTAACCTGGTCACTAGTGATGTCCTGAACGGTTCGCCACGGACTCATCATTGAGTAAACTTTGACCCTGTACCTCACAGTCAGCAGACACATTCCAGCCAATCAGCAGCAGACCCTCCCTCCCAGACCCTCCCACCTCCTGGACAGCTCACTAAGAATGCAGCTTCACAATGTAAAATGAATGCTGTCCAGGAGGTGGGAGGGTCTGGGAGGGAGGGTCTGCTGCTGATTGGCTGGAATGTGTCTGCTGACTGTGAGGTACAGGGTCAAAGTTTACTCAATGATGGGTCCGTGGCGAACCGTTCATGGCGAACCGTTCGGGACATCACTACTGGTCACGCATGATTATTAACCTGTTCACTTCAAGCCAGAAACCTGGTTAAATACTGCCCTTAAAGGGATGTTCTAAACATTAAATCAACTTTGGATTAGGTAGGGGGTTTTGTTGTATAATTATCAGCCGGGGAGGTGTGGCTAGAGCTGCATAAACATTGCAATTCAACTCCTAAATGGGAGAGAATTGAGCAGTGAGACTGCTGGGGCATTATCTATACAACAAAACAGCTGTATCAAGCTAAAGTTGGTGCTTTAGCTGATAAAAAAAGATCAAAATACACAGACCTGGTTACATGTAGCCTTCCTGCACAAGTTCATACATGTATGCAGTGCTGTGTCATCTGCGAGGCTAACAAGGCATTTGCCTTGGGCAGCACTTTCCAGGGGGCAGCAAAAAACGCCGCCTCCAACTGCCCAGGCAAATAACTTGTTAGCCTCATTTTAAAGGGGCCCAAGAGCTGGCCGACTGGCCACCATTGGGCCCCCCGAGGCAGACGACCACTTGCCTGTCCAGTCCACAATTTATCCAAATCCCTCTGTAGAGAAGTTATATGTTCAGACTGTATTTTCGTACCTAGAATTGTGTCGTCCACAAACACCAATAAATGATTTTCAATGTCCCCTTCAAGATTATTTATAAATAGATTAAATAGAAGTTGACCCAGGACAGAATCCTGAGACTCGACACTTACCACTCTTATCCAATGTGAACATTTTCCAGTTACAAATACTCTCTACACTAATATTATTGGAAGTTAGTTATCAGAATGATGGATTATGAACATTTAGTTCATTTCAGGAATTACTGAAATTGTGTTTAACATTGGATATGGTTTTTGCCTATGTGACCATTACATTCTCAACTTCACTTCAAAGTGATCACATGACTCTAAATCCAGTAATACCTAAAAAAAAATGTTCTCTTATCAAATTCTCAAATATAGAGATAACAATTTCCAATGCTTTCCTGGCCTTCAAAATCCCCGACATTCAGTTTTTGAAATTTGCTTATTCCCCTTCTTTTACATTTTGACATTTTAGAAAATGTACTTTGATATGAGAGAACCCTATGGATTTCATATATCTTTATGAAAACAACTGATATTATATTTCATTCTATTATTATTATTATTGCCATTTATATAGCGCCAACAGATTCCGTAGCGCTTTTCAATATTATGAGAGGGGGGATATAACTATAAGTAGGACAATAACAAGAAAACTTACAGGAACAATAGATTGAAGAGGACCCTGCTCAAACGAGCTTACAGTCTATAGGAGGTGGGGTATAAGACACGTTAGGACAGGAAATATCAATCAAATTAGGTGGGAGTGAAGCAGAGCTGGAGGAGAGAGTAAAGCACTGCCCTATAGGAGAGAGCAAGAGATAGGTATGTAAGGTAGAGGTTACTCTGGGAGGACATAAGCTTTAAGGCCCTTCTTAAATGATTGAAGACTAGGGGAGAGTCTGACGGCAGTAGGCAGGCTATTCCATAGGAAAGGAGCCGCCCGCGAGTTGGCCGTACGGGTGCGAGCAGCGGTCAGGAGGTGGTCACGGGTAGAGCGGAGGGAATGGATCAGTGAAGAGATATAAGAGGGGCTAGAATTGTTCAGTGCTTTAAAAGTATGGGTTAGCACTTTGAATTGACTCCTATAGGAAACAGGGAGCCAATGTAAGGACTGGCAAAGGGGTGAGGTGTGAGAGGACCGACTAGAGAGGAAAATCCGTCTAGCTGCAGCATTCATTACAGACTGTAGCGGGATAATACAGCTTTTGTGGAGGCCAATCAGGAGAGGGTTACAGTAATCCATGCAGGAAATTTCTAGAGCATGAACAAGCTCCTTGGTAGCATCTTGTGTAAGAAAGGGGCGGATGCGGGCTATGTTTTTAAGTTGGAACCTACAGGATTTGGCAACAAACTGCATGTGAGGCTCAAAGGTGAGGCCAGAGTCAAGTATGACGCCAAGATAGCGTGCTTGCAAGGATGGACTTATGTGGATATCACTGACTTGAAGGGAGAGCGAGAGAGGAGGATCAGTATTAGGAGGAGGAAAGACAAGGAGTTCAGTTTTAGAGAGATTGAGTTTCAGAAAGCGCGAGAACATCCAGTCAGAGATGGAAGAAAGGCAAGAAGTGACACGTTGCAGGACGGCAGGGGAGAGGTTCGGGGAGGAGATGTATATCTGAGTGTCATCAGCGTACAGGTGGTAGTGGAATCCAAAAGAGGCAATAAGTTTGCCAAGAGAGGCAGTATAAAGAGAAAATATAATAGAATTCTAAAATAATAATAATAACCAAGTATTTAACCAGGAAAGGTACATTCAGATTACTCTGGTTTTCAAGTACGTCCTGGGGATGTTACCTTAGCCCAACATCCAGGGGCTGTTACTATTACCCAATTTAATGATACTCCTTTTATCTACCTCCGGGATGCTGGGATTTGCACCTGCAACCCATATACATTCTAGCTAGGTTTTGTTGTATCTCATAATATTTTAAATGATGTGCTTAGGTTAAATGAAAATTTTTCATGAGTTACTCAGAAAACAAAAATCGACCCTGTAAATATTCCTGATTAGATTGTAAGTTAATTTGGGCAGGGCCCTTTTCACCTACTCTTCCCATATATGAAACGTATTTTGTCAGAATTAATTGTTTGTCTTGGTTTATCAATCCCACAATGTTCCAAGATATGTTGGCACTATATAAATAATTGTATAAATAATTGCACTTGTTTAAATCGTAATTTCATTGGAAACTCACAATAGTTATGTTTTTTTTTTTCTTTTTTTGTGTCTTCTTTATGATAGAGGATTCTCCTCAGTGGTGGCCTTAGGGGCCAGTGTGATCTGCAATAAGATTCCGGGATTGGCTCCTAGACAGAGGGCTATCTGTCTCAGCAGGCCTGATGCCATCATAGTGATCGGAGAAGGTGCACAGATGGGTGTCAATGAGTGTCAGTTTCAGTTTCGGCACGGGAGGTGGAATTGCTCTGCGTTGGGAGAAAGAACAGTCTTTGGAAAAGAGCTGAAAGTGGGTATGTTACAAATGATTTGATACTGCAGGTCTACAGCCTTCTCCCATTATTCTGTTAACATTATCAGTGCCAGCATTCAAACTATTTAATAATTATTTATCAATAATTTAATTCTTAATGATTCACTTAAATTCTTCAGTTTATAATTAAATAAGCTATTTCCATCCTTCCCTTTATCTTTTTACATTACATTAATCTGTTTTTAATTTAATGTAATTTTTATTTTTTTTAGATGAGACTTTTTGCTACTTTGTTATTCTGCGTACGTATTGCACATGATTTGTTTTCTTATCTAACCAAGAGCGTATTTGGAAATAATGTGCCACACTTTAAAAGGTATCCCTTAGAAACATATTCTACAGTGGTTTCTACCCTTGGCACTATTGTGAACTATTTCCCATGATGCTCAGCTCAGACAGCCATGACACACATTGATTGATGTAGTGAATGGTTGAGTATCATGGGAAAGGTAGCGCACAAAATCTGGGGTGCCTGGGTTACCCTCAGTGTACGTTAATTGAGTTTAATCAAATGAAAGATTCTGGGCAGTTTGAATTAGAGACATTAATATCTTTCTTTGATATGTAAAACAGTTACATTATCAAGCTGAATTAATTCAGTCACAGTTTACAGTGAGCACTGTTTTCTTTTTGAAAATTATCTTGCAAAATCCTGCGAAACTTTCTTGGCTAGCCTAGGCAACCTAAAACTTTGTGAAGTACACTTCCCATGATGTGTCAAGGATCAGGAAAGAAATACTAACCAGGAGACCCTAGTCAGACAATTAGACTCATGAAAAGGATAATAGGACCATGTTACCGGTCTGTAGAATGACCAGGATGACAAAAAGCATGTAATAAGGTGACAAATAATCAACCTGTGAACAGCTAATGTATTTAGGGAAAGCTGAAGTCAAAGGTGCCAGAAATCAGAGAAAATTCTAAGCCAAAGCCAAGTCAGGGGTACCAGAGAGTAGGGCAAATGGAAAGCCAGCCAAAGTTAGAGCAAAATATTACAGTAAATAAGCTAAATGGACAAGATAACACATTAGAGCATGGTATTCTGGCCAATTTAAGGTGTTTAACTACTGCCAGAAATGGCTGTCACTCAGTTGTGCCAAATGATGGTCATGCTCAGGTGTACAGGCGTAGATTGGCACTCATGCATAATTCTTGGTTTCCTATTTTATGATATTATATTATTTAAGTCTGGGTGCAAGCAACATTGTAGAGAGTCTTCAGGATAGGCAAGATCAGACACTGGTAAGCCATAACATTAAAACCACCGACATTGATTATATGATTACAATGGCACCTCTCGAAGGGGTGGGATATATTAGGTAGCAAGTGAAAAGTCATTTCTTGAATTTCAAAGCGGGAAAAATGGGCAAGGGAAACAATCTGAGTTACTTTGACAAGGCCCAATTAGTGATTGGCTAGGTGACTGAGCCAGAGCATCTTCAAAACGGCAAGTCTTGTGGGGTGTTCCCAGTATGCATTGGTTAGCACCTACCAAAAGTGGTGCAAGGAAGGATAACTGGTGAACTGGCTTCAAAGTCATGGGTTCCCAAAACTTGATGCATGTATTGAGCAAAGTCATCCCGTCTGGTCTGATCACACAGAATAGCTCATATTGCTGAAAAAGTTACTGCTGGCCATGAGCTAAAGGTTTCAGAACACACAGTGCATATCACGCGTGAGTGGGGGCTTTTAAACTAAAGGGAGGACCTATTGTCCCCACCACCCCCCACCCCTGAGCGGTGGGTGTGGGCCCTAAATATTAATAAGGGGGGGACCTATTGTCCTCCCCCCAACCCCCACCCCTGAGTGAAATCCACCAGAGTGCTCTGTGTCATTTTACACAGCGTCGGAAAGTTCTTTGGAATTTTCCCATGCTGTGTAATTTGACTCATAACACTCTGATTGGTTACTTAATCCACCATAGTGTTATGAGTCAGGGGTGGGGGCCGGGGGGGAGGACATTAGGTCCCCCCCCAATTGTTTTTTATTTATGTACCCCACCCACCACTCAGGGGTGGGGGCCGGGGGGGGGGAGGACAGTAGGTCCCCTCATCCACCGCTCAGGGGTGGGGGCCACGGGAAGGACAGTAGGTCCCCCCCAAATTCTTATTTATGGCCCCTACCCACCGCTCAGGGGTGGGGGGCTGGGGGGGGGGAGGACAGTAGGCCCCCCTTATTGTTATTTAGGGCCCACACACGCTGCGCAGGGGTGGGGGACAGGGGGAGGACAGTAGGTCCCCCCCAAATTCTTATTTATGGCCCCCACCCACCACTCAGGGGTGGGGGCTGGGGGGGAGGACAGTAGGTCCCCCCCTCCACATTCTTATTTAGGGCCCCCACCTGTCACAAAGGCCGAACCCACCGGACCCGAACATCCAGGTGTCCGCTCAACTCTATAGTGGAGTTAGATACATTATTCAGCAATTTTCCCAGCTCAGATACATTGGCCTACATGTTGTAGCCTTGTATACATATTGGCCCTATTCACGGTCTTCCTAAATAACCCTCATTAGGTTTCAACTAAATTAAATGTTGCATGTTTATTTTCCACAAAAATTCAATCATGGAAACAAATTAGCTTCCCTTTCTTAAGATGGCAAAGGGTGTAGTGCATTTCCTGGCTAAGATAGTCTTGACATCCATTTTCCACAAACGGAGAGCATAAACAGCATCCATGACATTAGTGAGATAAATTCAAAAACAGATATAAAATAAAAATATACACTCCACTGAATTTCCCTTGTTTGTTACAAATCTCCAAGGTACGCAGGGCCCTCAAGCCAACACGTCTTACCATTGCTTTCAGTAGGGGTGCTGTGTACATCCCATAATGTTCTATGAAGCAAGTGTTTGTGGGATATACAATTGTCAGCTTTCTACTGAAATCTGTACAGTAAGCCAAAGTAGCCGATATGACAGAGAATTTTTCTAGTTTGGCTATTTTGACCTTAAAATTGAAATTCACTTTGAATTTTCACTTTTTTGAATAACCCTGTGAGACTACTTAGAAACAGCCGTACCTCTCAACATTTCAAATGGACAAAATTCCAATTTTAGGGATGTGAGTGATGGTGTGGCCAGGGGTAGGCTAATTACATAACAATTTCTGTTATTAAAATGTTATTAGACCAGGAACAATGTATCTTATTCAAACAGACTGATTTTTATACAAATTTATTGAGAATGTTTGCTGTGGAGCTCTGTTATGTACTCAGACACACCAATAGTGTGAAGCTTCAAGAAAAGAGGGACATTAGAATAGAAAAGGGGGGCAGGGGCATTTGGGACCTAGGGACTGCCTCTCCTAAACAGAAGCAGTTTCTTTTTTCTCCCATGAACTTGTGTATACACATGTGAGCAACTGTTAAGCTTTCTTGCAGCAGTAGTACACATGTAAGATTTTGTGTGGGTCAGGGGAACAATATTTTTCTTCATGATACAGATTTTGGCTTGGTATACTGCAATTACTTTTCTAAAAAATGTGTAGGGCTTGGTTTTGTTTTTCTAAAAAGGTTTACGAAGATTGTATATGTCATGCACGAGGACTGTGGTTTTTATGATATTTTTTTTTTTGTAAATTTCAAAGTTTTTATTTATGTTACATATACTTATATTTTTTAACCTGCTAAAATGAAATAAAAAAAGTAAAAAATCAAGAAGACCATTGGGATTTCCTTGGTCATTCCATGTGTGGTTTTTATTGATGTTCAGTGTTATTTCCTCCTAATTTGAATTAGGGATTCCTTATTGGCTGAAGGTGTTATGGTAGTAATGTATATGTATGTATGTAATTAAATACATATATTTATTTTAATTTGTGTTTTATTTTTTTAAGGTTTATAATTGTGGAACACCTCATAATGATACATTTAAAGTAAATTTAAATGATATCTATTTACCAAAATGTCTTCTAAATTGAAATGTGGCAGTGTTAGTGCCAGAGGCACTGGGCATTCCTTTGGTACTCTAACTTTTTTTTTTTCCAATGTGTTTTATTTTAGGCATATTTTTTTTTTCATCATCGTATAAAACAGAATACGAGGTATATCAAGGGGTACAGAAGAGAAAGGGGAAGGGGGGAGGGGAAAAAGCAGCTTATATAGGTTTACACATATCATTCAGTACAGTACAGTGTAATACAGTATGGAACAGCTGACAATGCAATTGTCTGGTAATCCGTGGTAAGAGGACATTATAGGCATTGTAGGCACTACAATTAACATGTGATCCTCATATTACATATTAAAGGTGAACAAACATTTTAAAAGTGAACATACATTAGAGCATTCTGGCTTAATCGTAGGAGGGCTGCTATATGAGCCCATGGAGTAGGAGGGGGCGAAACCCGAATGGGGTTAGTGGTCGGACTACGGCACCTGGGGCGTCTCCCCCTCTCTATAGAGTACCCAACTTTGCCATCTTAATTTATACCTACTTTGGCTATATGTCAGCCGGCTAGCCATACGCTCATAAGCATGGAATGAGTCCAGCCTGCTGAGGATTTCTGGCATTGTTGGTGTCAGTGGTGATTTCCATCTGTGTGCTATGGCAGTTTTGGTAGCCATGAGACAGTGAATCATGAAAGGGATTGCTTCCGTGGGAAGGGTATTCGGAAAAATATGTAGAAGAAAGCACTCTGGGGATTGGGGAATTTGCACTCCCAGAATTTTATACAGAAGAGCGTGTACGTCCCGCCATAATGTGGTAATAGACGTACATGTCCAAAATAAATGTAAGAGGGACCCTTCGCTATTGTGGCATCTACAGTATGTTTCCCATTGATTAAGGCTATGGGACGCCTGTTTAGTTAATCTTTGGGCGCGATGCCATAATTCATTAGAAAAATGCTTTCCTAGGTCTGATTCCCATTTAGACATATACGATGGTTTGGACAGTTTGTCTTGGAGCAATAGAGTGTTGTAACATAGAGATAATGCTTTGGTTTTTGGAAGCTTGCCCATGCATTTGTGGATGAAGGGCGGTATAGAGTCGGGTTCCCTCAGGCTAATCCCGCTCTTCTGAATTATATTTTTTAATCTGAGATAGGAGAATAATTCCCGTGAGGGGATGTGGAATTCCCTGATCAGGTCTGGGAAGGGCTTGATGCCTTCAGCGGACAGTAGGGAACGAACTTGGGTGATCCCCTTCTTAAGCCAGTTGTCTAGGTGTGTGTTTGAGGTTCTTGTAGTCAGGGCTTGGAGTGGAGCAGCTAGGAGTAGGTCGTTATTTCGTAAGAAGAGCGGTGTAGTTTGCTTCCAGTTATGAAAGAGCGCGACTGTGGTGGGCAGCAGGGATGTGTCTTTGGGAAGTTTTGACCCGGCCCACAGGGAAAGTGGGATTGAGCCATTAGGTGTGCAGGCGTTCTCCAATGCCAGCCATATTGGGGGAGAGGGGCGTTCAAGGATCGTAAGGCCCTGGGCCAGCAGGGACGCCTTATAGTAAAGGGAAATATTGGGAACACCCAGACCTCCTTTTGTGAACGGGCGCCATAGTGAGTTTTGCGCTATCCTGGGGGGTTTTCTCTTCCATATATGAGCATTGATCATGGCCTGAAATTTCTTTAGGAGCGAGTTGGGGATTGTAATGGGAAGAGTGCGGAATAGGTATAAAATGTGTGGGAGGATCATCATTTTTACAGTGTGGATACGTCCTAACCAGGAGATCTCCTTCTCCTCCCAGGACTTAAGGAGTTGCTCTAATTTGTGAATGAGTGGCAGGTGGTTTTCGTGCGTTATTGCTGAGAGCCTCGTTGGCAATTTGATACCCAAATATGAAATGGAGGAGTTCCGCCATTCAAACGGGTATAGCGTTTTTAGAGGGTTTAGAGAGGTAGGTGGCAGTCCCAGTGCCAACGCTTGTGTTTTTTTGGCGTTGTTTTTATAGAACGAGACCTTACCATAAATTTCCAGCAAAGTTAGTAATTTTGGTAAAGATTTTACTGGGCGTGATAAGAAAAGAAGGACATCGTCAGCGAATAGGGCTATTTTTTGAGTCCCGATGGGGGTAGATAGGCCTTTTGATATGTCTAACCAGTGGTTCCATGCAAATTATAAAGATTAACGGGGAGAGGGGACAGCCCTGTCTAGAGCCATTGGTTATTTGGAAAGACTGAGATAGGAACCCTGAATTGAATACTTTGGCTGCTGGATTGGAGTATAGGGCCATAATGCCTTTCAGGAAGTCTTGTGGTATGCCCACTGCAGTTAGGACAGCCCTCATGTAAGACCAATTAAGGCGGTCGAATGCTTTTTCCGCATCTAGAGCTAGTAAAATGCCATTTTGGTTGCTTTTTTGGGCCCATGAGATGAGGTTCAGGAAGTGCCGAGTGTTATCCCCCGGTTGTCTATGTGGGACAAATCCTGCCTGTTCTGGGGAGACCAGGTCCCTCAGGAGGGGTTGGAGGCGGTTGGCTAGTAATTTGGCAAAACGTTTAATATCTGCGTTCAACAAGGAGATTGGTCTCAGGTTGGCGCATTCGGTGGGCGGTTTGCCGGGCTTAGGAAGTGTAACGATATGGGCTAGCAACATTTCTTTCGGTATTGTCCCTGAGTCCCTGAAGGAGTTGAAGAGGTTTGTGAGGTGTGGAGTTAGCTGTGTCTCAAATGTGGAGTAAAAGTGGTTGGAGAACCCGTCTGGGCCCGGAGCTTTATGTTTGGGCAGTTTGCGAATTGCGTTTCGTATTTCTGCCTCTGTGAAATTTGCTGACAAGGTTGCGCATTGCTGTGCCGATAGGTGCGGCAGCGCTGCTCCCGTCAAAAAGGTGGCTATTTCTGGGTCTAATGGTTGGTGTAAAGTACTGTCCTGTGTGAGGTTATATAGTCCCTTGTAAAAATTAGCTAGTTCGTCTACTATATCTTGTGGGTTAAACAACTTTGATCCAGTGGACGAGATCATGTATGGGAGTTTAGATTGTATGTATCGGGATTTTAGACGTTTTGCGAGTAGTTTGCCTGCCTTGTTCCCTTGCATGTAATAGGCGAGCTTTAATTTGCGGAGCTGTCGTTCCACATTTATCAGGGATATGTTAAGTATTTTGTCCCTTAACTTTTCAATAGTATGGGATAGCTTTTTAGATGGTTTGAGTTTATTAATTTGTTCTAAGGATTTAAGTTGAGAAAGTAGATTATCTGACTCGGTGTGGGATTTCTTTTTGTTTATTGCGCCTGCCTGAATTAGTAGGTCTCTTAGCACGGCTTTTAGGGCCAGCCATTTAGTGTCTATGCGTGTGCTGTCGGAAAGGTGATTCTCGAAAAATGATATTATGTTATCCCGAATTTTTGTAGCCGTAGTCTCATTGTCAAGGAGGGATTCGTTTAAACGCCAGGCACTGCGCCCCCGTGACGGGAACAAGGCCCTAAAAGTTGTGGTTACCGGCGCGTGGTCGGACCATGTCCGGTCACCTATTTGCACTTCTATTATATTGGATACCGTATTTTTATCTACCCAGCACATATCTATACGCGAGTATGTGTGATGGATTCGTGAGAAATATGTGTAGTTTCGTTCTTTCGGGTAAAGGGAACGCCATGAATCGTAAAGGTCGTGCCTGTGGAGTAGCGTGCTAAGGGTTGCGCTCATTGTGTTAGCAAGTTGGAGAGGTTGTTTGTTTGCTATTCGCTTAATGTCTAAATCGGGGTCTAGCGTGCAATTGAGATCGCCACAGATAATAGTGTGCCCCACACGGATAGTAGAGATTTTATTTAGTGCTCTTCTAATGAAGGAAATTTGGGAGTTGTTGGGTGCATAAATGGAAGCGATCGTAAGTTGCATTCCATTCAAAGATCCTACCACTACAAGGAGCCTGCCCAGCTCGTCTACATAGGTATTATCAAGATGAAAGACCCAATCAATATGGAACAGAATTGCCACTCCTTTTGTTTTGTTTGGGGCATGGGCATGAAATACCTGCTGATACCTGGATGAGCTCAGATTGGGGGGGTTTCTTTTGCACATGTGTGTTTCCTGGAGGCAAACTATGGCAGCCTGGGAGGTATGAATGGTCTTAATCACAGAGCTCCTTTTAAATGGGCTATTTAGGCCGTTAACGTTCATAGAGAGACATTTAAATTGGTACGTCATCTTAAACGGATATATAATAGAGCTTGTTAGTCACAGCATATTGTCTGCCAGCGACACTCATGGGACCTGTGGTTAGGTGGTGCGTAGTGTAGAATAAGGGAAGATCAGATGGCTGAATACGTCCTGCACAGACATGGGACAACGTAGCTGCCAAGGGGATGGGAAGGGGATTAACAGGAAAGACAAAATCAACAAACAAAGGTATATACATTAACTCTCTGGGACGAGAGAAAATACTGGGATCCAGAGGGGAGCCTAAAGCTCCAAACACCTCGGATACCCTTGGGGGGTCGTGCGGAACAGGACCGCACCCGGACCAGAGAGGAGAATATGCGCGAGAGGGGCTGAAACCTGGACAGCATTCTCGCCTGTGCCCCCTCCAAATCTCTGAAGTAATGTAGGGGAGAAGGGCAACGGATTTATGGTAACTTAATCGGGAGTACTGTGGCTAACTGGTGGAAGGGGTTTTTATTTTTTTATTTTTTTTATTTATTTTTTTTTATTTTATTTTTTTTGATATATATTTCCCTCTGTTAGGCTGAGCATGGTCGATAGTGTATCTTAGGACGTAGTCATAATTCTCAGGAGGCGACCATTTGACCATGTGTGTGCTTAGCGTTCCACGGGGAGGGGGGGGCCTTGGGAGACCTAGCCTTGGGCTGTAGAATACATCAAAGAGTAGAGGCAGGGAGATGCTGTCCTAGATGGGGTGGCTGTTAGCGTCGAGCGCCAACCATCTGCCAGTCTGGCTGGGATCTCTTCAGGGTGGTCGAGGCGTCCGGTTGTTGGTGGGTGGTTTCTTGTTGGCCCCAAAGTCCCCAGTGTTTCAACGTGGATAGACCTTTCAGGGGGTCATCTATAATGTGGAGCTTATTCTGCCGCCAGATCAGTAGTCTCGTAGGAAATCCCCAGCGATAAGCCTGATTGTGGTTGCGTAGGGTTTTGGTAATGGAGGAGAATTCTCTGCGTCTTGCCATAGTGAGGGCCGATAGGTCCGCAAAGATAGAGACAGCGTTATATGGGTCGGGCAATGTGGCTTGGGCTCTAGCGGCCTTAAGAAGAGCCTCCTTGGCTTTAAAGTGATGGTAGCGCACGATAATGTCGCGCGGGACGTCCGCGCCAAATCTGGGCGGTTTTGGAACCCGGTGGGCTCTGTCCAGCTCCCAGGTTACATCTGAGAGGTCAGGGACCAGCATGGTACTTAGTGCGGTGATGTAGGCCGAGATCTGGTCTGTTGATATGGACTCTGCTACTCCCCGGAACCGCACGTTGTTTCTGCGAGAGCGGTCCTCCATGTCCGCCATTTTATGCCATAATTTGATATTATCTTCCTCTAGTTTCTGTATTCTATCCGCTATCAGATTGTGGGAAGAGGAGAGATCATCAGTTTTGCGTTCGACCTGATCGGTCCGGTCACCCAGCTCCTCTAGCTCTTGGTGGATGCCCGCCAAGGAGGTGGTGAAGTCCTCTTTAATAGTGGACCTGAGGTCCGCGAGCACTTGTCTCAGATATTCCTTTGAGAATTGTGAGTCGTCTGATAGCGAGTGCGTGGGCGACTCGGTGCAGGGGTCAGGGTCCGGAGACTGAGCTCTGCTGGCGGCGCCATCTTGGGCCTGCTTCAGTCTTTTCCTCTTATGTTGGCGGACCGCGTCCGTAAGTTTCGTCTGTTTTGAGGGAGACATTAGGAGCCGTGTAGCCTTGTCCCCCGCTGGTTCAGGGTAATCCGGCGAGATTTCCTCGTTAATAGTGTTTAATCTGGTCCGGGTGGTGCGGAGCTCCTACTCCATGCGACCGATCTTGCCGGAAGTTGGACACGCCCCCACCAGTGGTACTCTAACTTTTAATTAAACATACACTACCAAAAAGGATTATATTGCAATAGAGAATGTCTATTCCCCTACTTAGTATTGTAACTGGATATCATGTTAGATTGCTATGAGCTTTAGTTTTTTTATTCTGTACAACTGACCTGTATTGGCACATTGCAGTTATATGTCTGAAACATGTATTAAGGTTTGTGTACTGTTTTAAATGTGTGCCTCAATGCTTTTTTTTTTTTTTTTATATTTGAGTATGTGCATATTAGTGTATGTTATGAATCAGATGTAGCAAGGCAATTAGCTTTACGTGACAATCTTATTGTTACTATCAGTGTTTTATTTGGGATCAATAATGTTGCCGTCAGAAATACTTGCAGACCCAACACGCAGTGTGTAAATTATGATATAAGTATAAACGTACACCGGAGTGGCCAGGCTTAGCGTACAGAAGACGCTTTGGTCAGGGACAAGCTAGAGTCAGGGACACCAGAAATCAGCATTAACGAGGTGCAATAGCCGAGTCAAGTAGTATAGATAGGAGAATAGTCAGTAATAGCTAACATCAAAAACAAAGACAATGAGATGTATGTAACACGCTATTGGGAATGAAAACAGAACCACAACAGGGCATGGATCTGAGCTCTAGCAATTAACTAGATAGCCACGCCCCCAAAATGTTTGAAGTTTATGATTTCATCATCGTCATTACATTAGCATGAAAGAAGGGGGGCGGGACCTGATGAGTGTCAAGGCTACAGTCCTGGATGAAACACAGAGCATCTACAAATATGTCTCCCAGAGATGTACTGCTAAGGGAATGCATGAGACAACACGAGAGAGCATACAGAAAATGAGATGGTTCCATGGCAAGACAAACCTCTTTATGGGGTGTACCACTGGCAGATAGTGGATGTGTCTCACATTAGGAAACCCTGTCAGTGGTTGGAAAATGCAAGACTGAAAGACAGCACTAAGATACTAATCCTAGCAGCACAGGAACAGGCACTCAGCACCAAATCAACCACACCAAACAGGACCCAAGGTCAGACTGTGCATAGAATCCTACTTCTGAGACATTACAGCACATAGTAGATGGTTTTAAAATGCTAGAAGGGACAACATACACTGAGAGGCACAACCAAGTTGTTGGGATTGTGTACTGAAATATTTGCACAGAATATGGTCTGGACCTGACTAAGTCCAGATGAAAGAAACCACAAAGGGTAGTTGAGAATGACAGGGCTAAGATTTTCAGATCCAGACAGACAAGAAAGTTGTGGCCAACCAGACTTACATCGTTGTGGTAGACAGAAGAATGCAGTGGTGGTGGATGTAGCAATACGCTTTGACCATAATATTAGGAAGAGGGAACATGGGGAGGTAGACAAATACCAAGGACTGAAAGAGAAGCTAGAAATGATGTGGAAAGTGAAGGCAGTACTAGTCCCAGGGTGCAGTTCTAGGAGCAGCTAATATACTGGGCAATACCCTCAGATTCCCAGGCCTCTAGTAGAAGATCCAATAATAAGGAATACACATAATTAATATATATATATATATATATATATATATATATATATATATACACACACATATATACACACACACACACACACACACAAGCAGATCTAGGTTCTCGCTCCATGTCCAGGAATGATTTGTTCCAGTAGCCCACTTGTTGTGAGATTGCCCTGGTTCCTTAACATCTGACACACCTTGCTAATCTGGGCGACATCCGGCGTCCGAGCCAGCAGCCGACTCCACTCAAGATTTCAATCTCCCTCAGTGTTGAAATTTGCCTCTCCAGGTCTCCAATCTGAGCTTTCAGAAAAGCCACTCGCTCACACCCACCACAGATGTATGGACCCTGGACAGATTCAGCGAGGCATGCAGCAGGATGTGCACTGAGTAGAACTTGCAATCTTGCTAGCACTCATCCCCAGTTACCAAAAACACAAGTGAGCAAAACAATATTTTCCCTCTTGGTTTAAACTCACTTATAGTTGAAACTCCTGTTGTTTCATCTCCTACTTAAAAGAGACTACTTGAAATAGCCTACTTTCAAGCAAACTCCAGTGAGTAAGCTCAGTGAGTCAGTAATAGGTTAATATTGGCACTACAAATCCCACACAGGTGGAAATTAAGGGGCACTGCCCCTAATTAACCCAGCAGCAGCACCCACAAGGAGAGGAATATAAACAGCAAGAGGGAAAAAGAAAAAGAAGGAGAAAGTTTTAAACAAAAACAGCAAGGAGAAAAATAGAAATATTAAAAGGGGACAAAGCTTTAAATAAAATCAGCAAAAAATAAAAATATATAAGAAAAAAGGAAAACGTTTTTAAATTAAAACAGCAAAGAGAAAAATATCAATAAAAAAGGACACATTTATAAATAAAATCAGCAAAGATTAAAAATATCTATAAAAAAGATGGAGAAAAGTCTCCTCCCTTCGGAGACTGAGCTGCAGGGCAGTATTTCAACATGATAACAACCCCAAACACACCTCCAAGACGACCACTGCCTTGCTAAAGAAGCTGAAGGTAAAAGTGATGGACTGGCTAAGCATATCTGCAGACCTAAACCCTATTGAGCATCTGTGGGGCATCCTCAAACGGAAGGTGGGGGAGCACAAGCTCTCTAACATCCACCTGCTCCGTGATGTCATCATGGAGGAGTGGAAGAGGACTACAGTGGCAACCTGTGAAGCTCTGGTGAACTCCATGCCCATGAGGGTTTTCAGGCAGTGCTGGAAAATAATGGTGGCCACACAAAATATTGACACTGTGGGCCCAATTTGGACATTTCCGCTTCGGGGTGTACTCACTTTTGTTTTCAATAGTTTAGACATTAATGGCTGTATGTTGAGTTATTTTAAGGGTACAACAAATTTACACTGTTATACACACTGTACACTTACTACTTTACATTGTAGCAGAGTGTAATTTCTTCAATGTTGTCACATGAAAAGATATAAAATATTTGCAAAAATGTAAGGGGTGTACTCACTTTTGTGAGATTATATATATATATATATATATATATATATATATATATATATATATATATATATATATATATATATAATCTTTATTTCCATCTTGGGGACCATTAAGAAAGAACAGTGCATATATACCGTACCCATTATCCACCATATTTCAGGAAGATGACAGCACCAGTACCCAGCATCACTGTGAACATTATTGTGTCGAAACTTACCTCTGCTGCACTCCTCAGCCTGGTTAATTCTTCAGTAGCAATTACTGGGGTGAAGCAAAATGGGGCTTTCACCATCTCACAATGAACAATGGCTACACAGACTAAATAAATAAATAAGTAACTTATGTGCTGGAACAAATTTTGGAAAAATACCACTCATATAGTATTCATATTCTTTTATTTCATGTGTTCTAGATTACTGTCACTCTCACAAAAGCAAAAACACATCAGTAATCTAAAACCCAAGTTGTAGTTTAAAACAAAATCTATGTTTTATGTATAAGTTCATATTTATAACATGCTAACGAGACGCAATTGTCATTCAGCTATGCAAAGGTCCTGCGGGTACAGATTTCGGAGCTTAAGGACATTGTTCCTTTTTTTAAAGCTCTTTGTCTGATAAGTTTTTAGAATCTCATTGTATTTAGGAACTTGCAAAACATCCAACAATCCCTTCACATTATAGATTACTGTTTTAGAGAAAAGGGATATTATTGCTAGCCAGCGAACCAATTTATTCACACAGGATTTTTCTCAAAACTAGAGAATGTGAACTGATTTGATTAAACACTGATTATTACGACCATATTTAAAGATACTTGGACTTAAATGAAACTTCTGCTGCTGTGATTTCAATTATTCTGTTTCAGTTAGATAACTTTAGAAAGACATTTATCATTTGTATCAGTTTCTAGTTAAAATTTGTATGTCTGTGCTAAATCTGTTTCTTACACCTATCTCGGATATTGGTAACTTTCATTTTTTTTTTTTTTGTAATGGGTCCCTCCAGACACCTAAAGTACTTTAGCTTGCTGAAAAGCTGAAAAGCTTTATGTGTGAAGAGTGTATCCTATTTTTTTCCCCCCATTTTGTAAACAGTATATATTTCAATAGAAACCGATACTTTTATAAATTAACCTGGTTACACCCCCTTGGTTTATTAGCAGACAACAGGTCCTGTTACTTCCTGGTTTGGTTAGCTCAGTGGAGATAAACTCAAGAGGCATCAATTGCTCAGAGTGTCTGCCTTGCAAACACTTCTTATTGAGCTGCTTTGGGAAGTCTGTGATTGGACAGCCACATGAATCTGAGCAGAGTTGGAAGAAGAGGGTTTACAAAACATGGCCCAAGCACACAATGTATTGGAGGAGGAGAAACATGGTATTTGTTTTTCCTCCTCACCGTACTATGTTCAATGGCAGAAAAGAATGGCGCTTATAAAAAGTGTTGACAGGGAGCCAAAATAGAAGCCCTCAGTTCTAAGACAGAGCAACATGGATTTTATTTATTTTTTGACCTCACAAACACATAGTTGTTAAAAATAGGGAGTAAGTAAACATAGAATTAACAATCTAGGTAAATGACTGTTCCCTACAATAAACTATAGCCTGACTCTATCAAAGCAGGACCACCAATGTTTCTCGTTTCCTGTATTTAATGTCGATGCATTATTGTGTTTTTCAGGTAGCAGGGAAGCAGCTTTCACATACGCCATCATCGCTGCTGGAGTGGCTCACGCCATAACTTCTGCTTGTACTCAGGGAAATTTGAGTGACTGTGGCTGTGATAAAGAGAAGCAAGGACAGTTCCATAGAGAGGAAGGATGGAAATGGGGGGGCTGCTCTGCGGATATCAGATATGGAATAGGGTTTTCTAAGGTTTTTGTGGATGCACGGGAGATCAAGCAGAACGCAAGGACGCTCATGAACCTACACAATAATGAGGCTGGGCGCAAGGTATGAATCTGTTAGAATAGAATGGTATTGTTTTGTTAACATGGTAACATTGTATAGTAATATTGTTTGATAGTGAATATTTAATGTAATTAGATCTGCAATATTGTGTTGTCCAACACTTGCAAGAGTCTTCTTGATGGCCCGAGCTTCTCACAAGCTTACTTTAAATCCCACCATTTAAACACCCTGGAGAAAGTAGAATCAACAAATTGCAAGAAAAGTACATAGCAACAAGCAATGCCACAACAGTGATTGCAAGCGTAATGGTCAACATATTAGAGACATTTGTTTGGCATAATATAACATTGCACATTCTAAAATAAAATAATAATACTAAACATATAGGTAACAGGCTTGCTCAACGTGTCTAGGGACATAGTGGAGGACAAGCTGATGGTTAATGCCCTAACAAGTATGACTAAAAAATCTTAGTAAATAGGCATTAACACTAAGGACCCTCCAGACATCGAGCTGTAATGCTACTGGGTGTCTGGGTGTATAAGGGAGATGCTGCATTCTGAGTAAAACAAATTAGGATTTAGTAGGTAGTAATGCTTAACTGACTCAGGATTCAAGGAACAGATACTTGCCAGGCTGTCTATCATGCAGTGTGCAAAAGCTAGACATGCTAAACTGTTGTACCCAGATTGTTGACAGGTGCATAGTAGAAAACATAAAACATGAGTAAAAGTATAGATCAGGGTGTTGCAGTGGATGTGATCTATTTGGATTTTGCCAAGGCATTTGATACAGTTCCACACAATAGATTAGTGTTCAAACTCATGGAAATCGGTCTAGATGAAAATGCTTGTTCTTGGGTAGAACATTGGCTTAAAAACAGAGTACAAAGAGTTGTCATTAATGGTAAATTTTCAACCTGGACAGAGGTGGAAGGTGTTGTGGTGTCCCTCAGGGGTCTGTTCTGGGACCCCTTCTATTTAACATATTTATAAATGATCTTGAAGACCGCATTGAAAGTCATGTTTCAGTGTTTGCAGATGACACCAAACTTTGTAAAACAATACAATGTGAGCCAGATATTACTTTGCTGCAGAGGGATTTAGATAGACTGGGGGACTGGGCACTCAAATGGCAGATGAAATTTAATGTTGAAAAATGCAAAGTTATGCACTTCAGCGTAAAGAATACACAAGCAACGTATACCCTTAATGGAAGCGAATTAGGGATAACAACACACGAAAAGGATTTGGGAATTGTTATAGACAACAAACTATGCAACAATGTGCAATGTCAATCAGCAGTGGCCAAGGCCAGTAAGGTGTTGTCATGCATGAAAAAGGGCATTCATTCTCGGGACGAGAATATAATTTTGCCTCTTTATAAATCACTGGTAAGACCACATATTGAAAATGATGTGCAATTTTGGGCACCTGTTCTAAAGAAGGATATTATGGCACTAGAAAAAGTGCAGATGCGGGCTACAAAATTAATGAAAGGAATGCAACATATCAGCTATGAAGAAAGGTTAACAAATTTAAACCTATTTAGTTTAGAAAAACGTCACCTGAGAGGGTATATGATAACATTATACAATTATTTTCGGGGCCAATACAAACCATTGTGTGGAAATCTATTCACAAACCGGACTTTACATAGGACACGAGGCCATGCGTTTACACCTAGCTGTAGAGAAGCAATAAGCGGTTCAATTCAATGGTCATAACTGGCTTGTGAGTCCCAGGTAAAGCCTGTCTGGCATCATATTCAATAACATTTTTAAGTAAAGGACTTATGCCAGGAGATATGTCTGGAGCTTAGACAAAATTACTTGTGTTAGGCAAGGCATGTTTAGTAGCAGAGATAGCCTGTAATCAGGTCTCAATGCAAAGTATGAAAGTCACCAGTCTGTTGTATCACTGCAGGTGACGGTCAGCTGTGCGGTCTAACTCGTGGGTAGTCTCATGGGCAGTCCGATTAGAGTTCCAAGTGAGTGTTGAGGCTTCTGTGAGCTGGCCTTATTGTCTGGCGAGTCGGTGGACAGCCGATGCCTCTACTGGGCAGAGAGGTGCCTGGCGTCTGAAGTGTCTGTACGGCTTCTGCAAGCCTGGCTCCCCCAACGGCTCGGTGTGGTGTGTCTGTTACCCTTGCTGCAACGCGCTGCTCGGTTTCAGCCCTGGGTCGCCACGTGGGAGCTCGTTGGTTTGTGGTGTTGTGCTTTGGCATGATGCCGGGGCCTTGGGGGTACCCGGCCCTCACCTTACCCAGTTTGTGGAGGTGGGTGTGTATGCCCGGGTCGGTGAGGTTCGTTTCCCGCCCTGTCGTGGGTCGACGCCTGTGTGGCAGGACTGCCTCCCCGAAGGTCCACAGTGGGTCTCCATATCGGCGGGTCTCCACCGCCCGTGCCGCATGAGGGTAGAGCACTCCCCTGTCGAACAGTATCCCGCAGAAGGCCAAGCAGAGCCGGTCTAGGGCCACCAGAGGATGAGGTTGCTCCTGGGTGTTTTTGTTTGTTTTCTTTAGTTGTCGGCCATCTTGGACACACTCTGGCCGATTGGTTCCGTTGCTGGTTGTCAAGATTGTCTCCTTTGCTTTCGGCGTTAGCCTGCTTGTCTTGTGGGGATCGAGATATCCCCCACCGGTCATGGGGGGAGGGGGTAGGAGGTCAGTAGTGCTTTCTGGGGTATCTGGTGTCGAAGAGAGCGGCCACCTCTCCCCGGCTCCAACTCCTGCAGGCCTCAATTTGTGTTGCAGTCTATGTGCCCCTACAGGTTCCAAAAGGGTATCCCCCGATTCTTTGGAGCTCCCCCGACATGGGTAGAGCACCCTGGTAGGTCTTTCGGCTACACAGCTGCTGATATTGCCCTATTTTCTGCTCGCCTGCTGGGAACTCCTTCCCCACTCGTCTGTTCAGCTTGGCGGTCAGACTTCGCCCCCCAACTTCCATTTTTTTAATTACATTTTTTTAAGTTTTGTCAGCTCTTTTAACATTTGGTTTACACAACAAACCTAACACCTTAAAGGTGAAAATATGTTGTACTGTTACACGAAAAAATTATCTGAAAAAGTACCTATTCATCCTAATTTTTATGAAACCATTAAATAGGATGATATGGTGTGGTACAATGCATATTGTACAATTCAGAAGTTACTGTTTGAAAACCATCACAATGTGTTAGGGTACATATCTGAACAAATTACATCATGAAGACCGTTGACCCCTCAAAACAAGCCCAGAATGAAGTTTTGGAGCTTCACTAGCAACCCATGGTTGGGTTTAAAAAAAATGCCCGTAACGCTGAACAGGAAAATCCATAATTCTAAAGTAGAAGAAAAAATGATTGCACAAATATTACTCTGTTTAGAGCAAGCCATCCAGTGGAACTCTGTGTCCATATAAGGAGGACGATAGGAAAAGAATCAACCTTGAGGCCAGTGGTAAATTCTAAAGGACCTGGAGGGATCAGCAGCTGAGATGCAGGAAACTATCTATTGGACAACTGCTAGCTGCGTACTCTGCAAAGTTATCCTTTCTGGGTCTATGACAAGAAGACTACCATTCCTGGAGAAAACATACAAACTTTTATTTGAGGTTTGCAAAATGTACAGCATTAGTTATACTGAAGTGGGTAAACATTAAAATTAAGATTTATGTCTTAGAAAGACCTCTGTCAAAGCCCAGACATCAAGCAGAGTGAGAAACTATGGAAAAATTGGAAAATTGAAAAATGCTCCTCATCCAAATTGATAAAACGTGAAGAATTTTGTCAAGGTGAATGTTTAAATGATCCAAATGTGCACAACTGGTAGACACTACCCCAAAAGAAATGCACCTTTAACAGCAGCCAATGGTTATGCTACCTCAAAATGGCAAAAGTCTTTTTGTCTAATTTGTTTAATTCGCTTTTTGTTGTTTAATTAACATTTGTGTCACTGTGTGTTAGGCATGTTGTGTAAATCTAATGGTAAAATCCAGATAAAATCTATTTTAATTCCAAGTGGCAAACCTACAAAATGTGGAAATGCTCATGGGTTGTCATTACATATGTAATCATTTTTATGCATACTCTACATTGCTTGTACAGATGGCAAATAATCTTTCCTATGAAAAAAAACCAAAAACGTTTTGTGTCATTTAATAACCTTTTCTTAAATTGTAAGCAATTTTATCAGGGCCGTCATCCCCTCTTGTGTCTAAATGTCAAAGCTTGTTTTGTCGCAACTATTCATAGCGTTTGTTTATTTGCGGTATGCACAAGGAAATATGTTTATAAATAATGATAAAAATGAATAGGTGAGGTTATCAGGTAAATTGGTTACTGTACAAACTTCCTTGTGGGCCACCTTTGAACCACATACTCTTAACTGGACATCCATTTAAATTGTTTTAAATTAATTTCTCCTATTGGTGCCTTAGTACGCTCATATTGCACTGTGTTCCCTTTCTGGGTAATACACAACAGTATAAAAAATATTATTGTATGCCAAATACAGCCTAATAATTTTGTCATTGGTAGGAGGCAAAAAAAATGTCTATGCAAGAAACACTTTCTCTTCTAGAACTGGTATGCACAATTCACTTTTTCTTCCAGTATCAGATCAGGGGAACTATTCCATTATCAGAAAAAATTTAAAGACCTGCCTTTTCTTCTCATAACCCCTTAAAGGGGCACTCCACTGACAGAATGTATATTTATTCTGTCCGTGGAGAATTATATAATATATATATATATATATATATATATATATATATATATATATACACACCATATTTTTCGCTCCATAAGACACACCACACCATAAGATGCACCTAGTTTTTAGAGGAGGAAACCCAGAAAAAAAAATATTCTGAACTGTCCATAGTGTTTCTTAACACCACCACTCCCCTGTCCCATAGTGTTCCTTACCACCCACTCCCCTCTCCTGTCCAATTGTGATCTTTAACGCCCCTCCCCTGTCCTATAGTGATCTTTATCCACCCCTCCCCTGTCCCATAGTGATCTTTAAACCCCCTCCCCTGTCCCATAGTGATTTTTAACCCCTTCTCCCCTGTCCCATATAGTTCTTTAACCCCCCCCTCCTGTCCCATAGTGTTCTTTAGCCTCCCTCCTTGTCCAATAGTGTCCCCCCCCTCATCCCATAGTGTCCCCCCCTCGCCTTGTCCCCTAGTGATCTTTCCTTCCCATAGTGTACCCACCCCTCCCCTTGTCCCATAGTGTCCCTTAGTTACTTACCTGTATTGTAGCGTGGGCCGGCAGAACAGTGCGCACCACGTACAGGAACTTAAATTTCAGTTTCCGGTTTTTGGCTGGACTGAAAGGAAGTGTGCACACTGAGTGCGCACTTCCTTTAATTTTTTAAAGGCTTGCAAAATCTGCAATTCTCATGTTTGTGTAGCTTTTGCAAGCCCTCCCCTTCTTTCCCAGCCCAGATTTTCGGTGGCTGTCCAATTACAGACTTCTAAATGCAACTCAATGAGAAGTCTTTGCAAGGCAGGTGCTTTGGGCAATTTCCTCCTTCCTGAGCTTACCTAAACAACCAGGAAGTTACAAAATGACTGTCTTATTGACAGCCAGGGTGCTGTAACAACATTAATTTATAAAAGTGCCAATTTATATTGATGTCCGCACTTTATAAAAAATGAAAGAAATACAGAGTACACTTCACACATTAAGCACGTCAGTAAGCTAAAGCTTGTTTGTGTATTTAACCTTTGTTGTTCATTTCCAATAGTTACAAATATTAGAGCTATTACAAAGTAAGCAATGAAAATAAGAAAGTTAAAAAATCAGGCTAGATTAAGGTTTATGTAACATCTGCTTCAGCTATCACCATTATGAGGAGTGGATACAGTGCAGTGTACAGTGAAGCATGAGAGCCAAATAAGCAGATTATAGGACCATGAGACAATGGACGGAACATTAGATGAGAAAAGTTATAGTAATGGACTGTACTGTGGCTGATCATCTTTAATTGCGGAATTACAACATTGTTTCATGATTTCAAGACAGTGTTGGAGTTTCAACTTCATTCATCATATATAGGGATTGCGGGCAGTTGTACTAGAAAGTAGGTGAACTTTAACAAATCGACATTGTTCTAGTAATATGTGTTCCCTTATTCTTTTGATGTTTCTATCTCTAATAAAAAGCAAGTAGTACTGCTTCAATACAAAGAGAAGAGAAATTTGAACTGTATTTAGACTGCTGGAAGCTGTCACTTCTTTGGAATCTTATACCATTGTATGAAACACTGAAACTCACCTATAATTTGTGTTAACCGTTTTACATACAATGCTCTGTGTTCTTTTAAATTTATATTAAGATTTATTTATTTATATTAAGATTTAGTAACTGACATCACCATCCAGTTCAGACAAGGTAAAGCCAGAACAAGTATTGGAAACTAAGAAGAGAAATAGGAACATATTATAATTTCTTGTATTCTCTGTATGCTCTCTCTATGCTGACTGCCAGGTGCAAAGGACCGAGCTTATAATAATGGTTGACAGGGAGCTAAGTTGGAGGTGCCCATTGACAGGATAAAGACGTGTGGACTTCTTGATTTATTTTTCACACCTCACAAATATATATGAATGAAAAGAACAATGAGAAACAGACTAGTACAGTTATGCACTCAGCTGCATGCTGGTGGCGGCATTAAGGAATTATTACACCTCCTTTATACTAATATGGGGATTATACTGACCCCTGTAGGTTCTTTATTTTAAGAGCTAGTGCTGCCAGTGGGCAAATATTTAAAAAAGCATTTATCAGCAACTTTTAGCTCTTGAATCAGATAAGGTAATCTTTTAGGCAACAAATGCCCGATAAATGAAATTAAATAAGCTCTGCGCCATCTGGGTTCTTTGCAACACCGGTGGTCATAGGGGGCAGAGTCTGCCACCCTCTTCCATCGGATCCTCCTCAGCTCCTGGCAGCTCCCGAGGGCTGTACTCACATGCAAGAGCACAGAATTGTAGTCTATGGAGTTCCCAAGAGCTTTTATCCCTACAGCCATCAATGATGAGGGATGGGGAAAAGGACAAACATGACAGGAGATAGCTGCCTTTTGTCAAGCAGAGGAAAAATAATGAGACAAAGTAGTTTGGTCTAGTTTGGTCTCAGTATATTCTTTGACTGGCTGGAATTTCAACATAGTCAATGTGAGTATTTCATAAAGATCTTATCTTTATGAAATACTCGTTTTTTTTACATTGCTCTTTTAAAGCACATCAGCCAATATAAAAGTATATGTATCATTTTCAATATTCAAATCAATAAATATTAATCGTGTCTATTTAACTGAATCTATAAACGGCTGATATGGAACCAAAAAACTCCCTATAAAGACCATCGGCTATAATTTAATGGAGTCCTTAGTGTACAGATTAAAGAAATTCTTATTTGAAGGTGTACATAGTTTGCGGATGTTTAATTTAAGTAAGAGGATGATGCAACCCCTCTGGTATTTTTGGAGGTCACTTTAAATTCTGTATTGATGAGTAAAGAATACTTACCCTACAGTAATGGTTGGTACTTCACAACCACGATGTAATAGATTATCCCATAGTTTTATTTCCCTCACAGTAGAGCCTTTATCCACATCTCTTAAATGTAATATCAAAAGAATGCTAGATATTTATTCCAGATTAAAGATCTGCTAAATTTTATTAATTTTTTTTTAAAACCTTCAATAGAGTAAAAGTTTAAACATATTGTTGTGAGTCTGATATTAAAACTTATGCACTTTAACGATACATGGCATCTTTCAGGATAACTCTAGAGTTCTGTGTGAACCATTCAGGCTACCAACATATTTACTCATTATCTATAGCCAGTGACTAGACTCAAACTATGGCCCTTTTTACTATTGGACGGCTGGCAGGGGTTAGCCGGGGCAGCTAGCATGTAGTAGTTTTGGGCTGCAGCCTTCTTCGTCTAATTAAAAGTTGCAGGAGGTTTATTGGGAAGTCTGTTGGCAATTTCATATAGGACAATGGAAGCAGGGAGGAATTATTTCTTAGCTTAGCATTGTGTAGGTTTGTGCATTGGCTTGTGGGCTGCAATGCTAATACACTCCAGACCTGGACTGGCTCATTGGGCTGTTTCCTGGGAGAAGATCGTACCTGGCCTTCTCCCAGTAGCCTTCATACCATCCCACTTTCAGGTGCTGATTACGGTGCCCTGTCCCACTATCCTTCTTCAGTTCCCTGGTGTGGAAACTCATCTGCTGTGTCATGGCAATCCTGTTGAGTCCTATCCTAACAATACATTTGGCTGATTTCAGCTTAAAGGAACGTTCCTAACGCTTTAGTGCCCTTCTAACTAGTTTGGTTATCTCCCCCCCTCCAAGAAGGTTAAAGGTGATATTACCTTTTCTCTGGTTCTCTTGTCTCCACTCTGGTGACATCAGGGAAAAGTATCTGGGCAGCATGCTGTGAACTATGCAGACCAGTCAAGGAACTCCTATGTGGTTTTTGGGTAGACCCACACTCATTATGGCATTGCAAGTGATTTGGCTCACATCACTGGCATTCCCCATCAGGGCCCTGTCCTGATTTTCCCCTTTCAATAGTTGGAGGTGTTAACAAGTGATTGCAAAGTTAGATGTGCTCATTACCTTCGTAGCATATGCGTGTTGGCATTGGTCGCAATTGAGTCATGGGAACTAGTCTGTCTGTCAGGCATGAATGGATCTCTGCAAATGTTCCAGTATGTTGTACAGGTCATACTGGTTTCAGGAATATGTAATATACATTTACACATGCCTAATATTGCCTGCACTTACCTGCCTTATAACCAATGTCTCTTCAAACTGAAATATGCCTTATGTATTTAACACTGAAACTACATAACCAAAATAGTTACCTGTGATCTATCCCAAAACCCAATAGTCTTTTAAATGATAGTGGTTTTTGGTACTACTGCAATGGCCAGTGTAAACTCCTCTTCTATGTCATGGCAAACTTGTTGATTCCTATCCTAAAAATACAACTCAGTGATTTCAGCTTAAAGAAAGGTTCATAGTGTTGTAGCCTTCTAATTAATTAGGTAACAACACCCCTACCCTCCAGGCAAGGTTAAAGGTGATATTACATACCTTTTCTTCCGGTTCTCTGGTCTCCATGCTGCTGTCCAACCTCCTTCCCTGTCATGATGTCAGCCAATCCAGTGCTTTCCCAATGCAAAATGCAGCGTTGTGCCAATCAGATGGTCTCTACTAGACCATCTGATAGAAGTAGCCACGTTTTACTTGGCTACTTTGGAGGAAGCATCTCTAGTGGCTGTCAGAGTGACAGCTGTCAGAGTGATGGCCACTAGAAGCATTCCAACTGTGCAACATAAACACTGTTTTTGCTTGCAGGGACAAGCAGACAGGCATTGAGATAAAGTGGTCTGGGTGCCTGTAGTGTGCCCTTAAAAGCAAAATCTCTAATGAGACAGAATTAAATGTTGTTATGAATCCCTGTAAATTAGTTTAACCTAAATATGAAATACACATCACCTGAGCTCACGGTCAACCCTTTGCTATTTACTAGAAAGTGTGCTGTAGTGGTTATGGAGCTCGGAGTTGTGACAAACGCTCCTTCCCATTTACGTTTGCTATCGACTCCTGGAGGAGTGTAGAAGGTATGCCTCCTGCCCAAGGACTATGGTCCAGGTCTGGGACACCGTTTGGGAGTTACTCTGCCCCGCCGCCATTAACAGCTTTCCCTGGGTGCTCGTGGTTCAGCACTTTCCCTTCATATGAATGGAACCGAACGGTGGCTCTCTGGCATGAACCAAACCCACGAATAGTCCCAGAGGTATTTAGCCGCGACCGCTATGAAACTAAATTCGGTATGAGGACTTTGTGGGTACCTGGTCACCTTAGCCGTGAATGTTATGAAACTGTTTCGGCATGGGGTGACCGTGCGGTTCACCGGACAACTTGGTTCGCGGTTTTGAACCACTTTGAAATCCGCCAGGATAGCGCTTTTTGGAGGGAAGGTGTCTGAGACTAAGAGGAACAATCGCTACTTAAGAACCAGATAGAGCACCCCGTATTGCGGCCACAGGGGCTACCGAAAGCAAAAGCACCAAACACCCTGCAACTATTTTGGGTATAGGCCAATGTGTGCGGCCGGTCAAAACATTAACATGGTGACGTTTCCCCTACTCTGCATGGATTTGAATGCTCTTTGGAGAACTTGGGCGCTCAGATCAGGGCTGTTTAATTATGAATTATTTGTGGGGTTATTTTACCTTTCTATTATGTTTTTGGGTATTTTTATGTTTTATATTTTTTATGTTTGCCTCTCTGTTCCTGGAAGATAATTAGCTCACTGGTCTTTAATGCAAGTATTTCCCAGGCCCAGAGATTTCTGGGAAGGGTTTGTGCTGAATACAATGGAGACCCCCTGATGGGGTCTGTGCATAAAAGGCAGAGTGTGTCGTCTAGTTACTGGGAGGGGAAGGGCTATAATCACTGCTTAGAACCTTTTTCCAACTCGTGCAGGATTTGGCTGAGAAAATCCTTACAAGACTAGAGCTCTCAGGACTGTGTGCCGTCCAGTCCCTGGGAGGGAACAGAGCTAGTCCCCTATCCTGCTGCCGGACGGAGAGGCTCCAGGAGGACCGCAGTGAAGCTACGCGACTGGGGCAGAAGCACTGAGGTTTTCTCCTGTTTCAGCTAGGAGGCGGTCCTTGGCGGAGGTAACCAGCCCGGGTACAGGGATCTCCGCTACAGGAGTGTTCCTTTACCTTTTGCTGCTATATTAAACAAATATTAAAATTAAAGTTTAGTGTTAATTTAAACAAATATCTGACTAATTTACATGTATCCTTATGTTTAATACCAAACTAGATATTAATGTCAGTTATAGGAAGAAAAATTTATTTTTAATAATTGAAGCTATGTTTCTATTTAGCTAACATGGCTGAATACTAAAAAATACATAATTTCTAAGTTGGTTTTGTAAGCAAAATGATTTAGATTTTGGGAGTTGGCTTTATTTAAGGGTCAGGCACAGCACTTCCTGCAGCCCGGAGTCAGATTCAACAATAGTCGAGAGGAGAAGGTAATTTTTCATTTTGTGACAGGATCATTTGGCGAGAATCAGGCAGACTTCTTTTCCATTCTTCTTTATGCTTCTGTTTTATTTTCACTTTTTTTATTTTATGACTTTTAGTCACCTGTCAGTATAATTTCGCCTCCGTCCTTAGAATATTAAGCTTTTGTGTGGGATGAGATTTCAAGTGAATACCTTCATAGATAGGACATTCTTTTCCCAATCTTTATTTCAGCAGAAGCATTTCTTTATATCTAAGATGTTCTTAGTGTTAACTACATAATTGTAATTATACAGCTGTTGTATAGGACAGAATAGCCAGACACTTTAAACAGGTCCATACTGCTTTCAATTTTACTATAAACTGGGATGTACAGGGGATAATACGATCATTTCTTTTGAGTGTACTGTGCAAATGCCACACTCACAATTTTAGAAGAGAGAGAGAGAGTCAGCCCTAAAAAGGGGCATGTTGAGATTGCACACCATATCTATTATATTAAAGTGCTTTGCTTAAGGGCTGAATGCCCTCAGTGCAATATACACAATGCTAGTGTATCTAATGATGCACTCATGCTGTGCACTAGGTATTGTGTCCACAAGTGAAGGACACAAGAGAGCAAAGCCAGGACTAAAGTACAGACTATATATTTGTGACTGTCCCACCAAACTCAGGACTGTTGGAAGTTATGGTGAGTGTCACGGGTGGCGGTTCGGAAACCGGGACCCCTGAGTGCCTGATGAAAAGTTGGGAGTCTCCAGCGTGGAAGTGGATAATCAGGTCCTGGTGCAGGGTAACACCCCCTGGTGTTGGTCACCAGCATTTGTGCAGCCACATACCAGAACCATGATGCAGTTTAAGCGGATCCCAGGAACTAGGAGCTTGGAATTCAGCAGACCTCCCAGGAGCTGAATAGGGAGGCTCTGCAGCAAGAATGTATCCAGTACAGAAACAAGACAAGGCTAGGATAGTCACCAAACATGAAAACAAGACAGAACTAGTAGAACCCAGAACCAGAGAAGGATCGGAAGCTAAACCCAGAACATGTACACAATACATAAGGGAAACATGAACATAACATGGGCATGACTGGACTGTACAAGGACTGGGATTACAAAATGAAACAAGACAAGATATAATAGGCAAAACAAGAGGAGACATAACTAAGCACTATATATGAAAAGTATGGGGATTTAGTTACATTATATGACCATACATTGCATAAGCCTGCCACAACGCCAATGTACCCCATATTCGGCAGGTCCTACACTGCCTAATGTTCACTAAAAGAACCATACTAAACCACAATAGCACTTACCTGCAAGAAAGGGCAGAAGGCTTGAGCAGCTGCCTGCTGGACACTGAAACAAAAGGAATGATGGAAAACAAACGGGTGTGGCAACATAAAACAAACATTTAAATGAAACCAAGAGACTGGGAAATCCAGGGACGGAATATAAGAATGAACCCAGAAACCCGGCATAAAGAAAACCAGACATAGAATAGAAAACCAAAAAAACAAGAAAAACTAAACAAGAATTGTAAAAAGAGTACTGGACACCAGAAGCCAAGTCAGACATCAGAACAGAGCAGAGCAGATCCTGACAGTGAGAGAATGAGCTGCCACTCACCCCCTACCCGTCTAGTGTATTAGGACTGAAAGAACAATGTGATGTTCTGTACATGTTGTCTATTGAGTGTACGTGTTATTACGAAGCCAACAAGAGATATCTGTTATAAAAGAGGTGCAGTTTCTTTACATTTGAACTGTTGCTTTCTCCCTAAAAACACCAAAACATTAGCTCGAAAATACAGTATACAGCATTGAAGAACAGTCTAAGCTGGAAATGGAAGACAGATCTTGTAAGAATTTCTGGCAACAGACACCCTGGCAAAAGTGCATTCCTGAGGAAGAGCTGATTAATTTTTCACTAAGAAATATCAGATGATTGCAGGAAATTGAGACCCACTTATTTTGGGCTTTAATTTTATTTTAATAGTATTACTTGGCAAATTTAGTAACCTGCCTCTGCTATTGTAGAGTTAGAGAACAGTTCTCAAACTGCACCACAACAGGTTATGGGTGTCAACAGTACATTTTTTTAGGGTGTGCACTCAGTAAAAAATACTAAATCTAAGCATTACTGATAAAGTATAAATGTTAAATATAATGTACAAAATACAGACACAGATTTGTTCGCTCTATTTATCATCATGTGTCAGATATATATTGTTTATAAATCGATGGTAAGACCCCAAACAGTTCTCTTGTAACTGTTAATACATAGTCTATAAAAGGACCCCTTGAGACTTGAAGAGAGGAGATTTCACCTACAGCAGAGGAAAATAACAATACAAATTAGTACACTGCCTAAAGAGGCTGTTTTATCAGACTCTATACATATTTATAAACAATATATTTTGGAAAAAAAGAGTATTTAAACACTATAGTCATCAAAACAACTTTAGCTTAATGAAGCAGTTTTAGTGTATAGATCATGCCTCCCAGGTTTCATTGCACAATTCACTGCCATTTAGGAGTTAAATCACTTTGTTTCTGTTTATGCAGCCTTTGTAACACCTCCCCTGGCTCTAATTGACACAGCCTGCATGAAAAAAAAAAACTGGCTTCACTTTCAATCAGATGTAATTTACCTTAAACAATCGAATATCTTTCTCTGTAAATTGAAATGTAGTCACATACAGGAGGCTCTTGCAAGGTTTAGCAAGCTATTAACACAGCAGGGAATAAAAAAAAATCTAAATTAAACAGAACTTGCAATAAAGGAAGGATAAATTGTAGATGACTCTTTACAGGAAGTGTTTAGGGAGGCTGTGCAAGTCACATGCAGGGAGGTGTGACTAGGGTTCATAAACAAAGTAATTTATCTCCTAAATGGCAGAGAATTGAGCAGTGAGACTGTAGGGGCATGACCTATACACCAAAATTGCTTTATTAAGCTACAGTTGTTTTGGTGACTATAGTGTCCCTTTAAGGTTATAATAGTTAATATGTGTGTAATAGCGTGTTGCTCCAAGGAGAAATCTGACTGCCACTAGTCAAAAAAGTGCCTTTTGAAAGTACATATATTTTTGTTTTTGCCTTCTTTTGAATCAACTGCAATAACACAGATATGTGAAATGCTGAGTTTTTATTCAGCCTTTATGTCTATGTAGCTAAGTAGATAATATATAACTTTATAGTCAAGGTGTTGTAAAAACTAGCCCAAACTCTCCTAAAAGAGCCCATGAATACCACAAGACAGGGGATAAGAAAAAAAAAATGTTTCTACTCCTTGCACATGCTTATGCACAAGTGGAGGAGCCAAGTGCAGCAAGTGGCCTAGAAAGGTCCAGATTGCAGGGACGTTATCTGCCACAAAGACAGAATATGTAAGTATCAATCGAATTACCTCAGAGTTAAATCAATATCCACAAATTAATAGGACAGTTTACCACCAATCTGCAGGACGGCAGGCTTGGAGGTCCCCAACTCCATCAAGCTAAGCAAAAACATACTGGTAGCAGCTGCTACCACAAACATGTCACTTTTTATAAAACATACTGCAGCAAATATAACAGAGAACAGCTACATGGGGGAGCCATCTTGGTTCCACTTGGGTTGCTGCTCCACGTACCTCCTTCAAGTATACTAATAAAGTTTGTACCTCAGCTTTCAATACTCCTGGATCACAGTGTTTATATAAGTTTCAGTACATGTTTGCTTACCTAGACTCGAGCACCAGTTTTTGTTGTCTGCTTTGAGGATGCCCTGCATGAGGAGACTGGGCTTGCATTAGATTTTGTTGACTCTGCAATGGTGACTGTAGGTTAGTTCACAAATAAAATTTAACTACACCATGGTAAACTGGAACTGGAGTGGTTTTATTGCAAGATAATTTTTTTATATATATAAAAAATTCTTGCACCATAAGTACTACAGTGCATTGCGTGTTCCTCTAACGTTACGGTCATTAAACACAATGTATGCCAGGTGCAGATCCAGAGCTTAAACTTTAGCAGGGTACACCACCATATTTTGTGACATGGCAGTAGTAAAAGGAAAAAAAGCTCTTATACATATAAAGCAGATATAACTGTAAACAGCGCCGCCACTACGGCATGACAACCGTGATGCCATGATAGAAGTGCGATCTTCAGTTTCCGGCATTTCCTCTCTCCAACTCTCACAATCCCCTAGCAGTCAGAGTTTTGCCGCAAGTTACCAAGGGATTGCTCCGCACGATATGCAGACCGGACTCACGAGAGTTGGAGAGAGGAGCTGCTGGATGCTGAAGATCACAATTGCTGGGCTCCCTCTTCACTATACATGCACATGGCAGCCTGCACAATAACACTGGACAGTGTCATTGTGCACACATGCATTATTAAAAAAAAAAAGCCCCAAAGAATGCCACCCCTGTCCTACCGCACATATGTACGCACACGCACACTGAGTACACTAGACAAACACACACACACACTGCATCCCATCCATTATACACATCATCCACTACACAAATACACAATGCATCCACTATGCACACACTGCATCCACTATGCACACACTGCATCCACTACAAACACGCACTGCATCTACTAACCACACACTACACACCTCATGCACTACACAAACACACAGCATTTACTAGACACACACACTCTGCACCCACTCTACACATACTACATCCATGTATGGCGCACTTGGGGTGGGCACCAGGGACCCAGACCTTGAGCTGTGAAGGGACCCCAAAATTTCTGATGACAGCCTTAACTGTGAGTTTTATTGCTCCAAAGCTCTGTGATAAAGATATAGAATATTACTAGACTTATGCACTGGGTGAAGCATTTTTCCTGATAACAGAAAATATTCCAGCATCTAATTTTGGCCTAATCTTGGCTCAGCTTGGCAGAATTCTGGTACTGAAAAACTGATACTGCAAAATATATACATAATATAATATTATGTGGCCATCTGGTTCACAGATCACAGGTAAAAAACTAACCAATAGAGGGAAATCAGAAAAAAAATCTATATTTATATAGTATATGTTTATCAAATATATACAAAAAAATATATAGATTTGTCTTACTTCGCTTTTTTACTTCCCTCCATCTATTGCTCACTTGACCTGTGAATAATATCAACATTTAGTGACTGTCCCCTAGACAGATTAATATTTTTTTCCATCATCTCTTTTTATTTTAATGCGATATATAGAATCCAGAGTCACAAGCCAAAACGAACACGTCCAGCTATTGCGTGTTTGGCTGGTTTGTGACTCAGGTACATTTCGTCTCGAAGTTTGGGAGAATTCATCCAATCACCCGATTGGCCCTATTTGGACAAATTTCAGGAGACAAATCATGCATAGAGCTCATTACCAAGTATTATTTCTCTGGACTACCCTATATCACCTGTCCCCATACGTGCCAGTTCATTCACATATTGCATATCATATACATTACTTTAGTACATTTTCTGTAATTTCTGAATGTGTATTTCACATTCTGCAGTGTAATGTTTGTGCATAGCATGAGACTGTGTTTCTATTTCTCTGTGTGGATAGCAAGGAGATCTATTTGGGGGTAAGGAAAGGGTTAATTGGAAGAGGAATATGTGTGTAATAGCGTGTTTGGGGGAATGCAAGGGGTTACTTGGCATGGGGAATATGCCAGCCTAATTTGGGCAGGTAGAGGGTTAATTGTCAGAGAAATTAGGCAATCTAAATTGGGGAGGGAGAGGTTGAACTAGCATGAGGTTGTAGGCTTTCGACTATAGACTTGGTTATTTGGCATTGGGAAATGGGGAAATAGAGGTTAATTGTCTGGAGCAGTAGGTGGCAAAAATAAAATCTTTCACCAGGGCCCTCTGTTCATTAGTTCCGCTACTGAACATTGACTTATATGTTATCACTTGTATTTGTATCATGGTAGAGAATGATACAAAACTTTGCAGGGAATACGTATTATATGTGTTTGCTTGGCTGCACAACTTTAACAGAGTACAGATCATAGCAACCTAAGCTGAAAACATGTCTCTTTTTCACACCTTTCTCACACTCCCCCTTAAATGTAGAAGAGATGGATTTGTGTGAAATCTGATAAAATTCCGACACTACTGAGATTACACACAATATTTTGTTTTCAAGGGAGATCACTAGGGGAGATTACGTTTATCGGAGAACACTCAGATTGCATTATAAGTAAGGTAAACCGTGACAGATATGTTCTGTGTCTTCTCAGACTCCGGAGATTACTAGACATTAATGTTCTGAATTATGGATGAGATTTTAACAGAACAAAAGCATAACTCCTAAAGATACATTTGCATTAAGCTAGTTTTATCAGTTTCAGTTAATCACAGAAGCTGTTATATGTATCCTTAAATTCATTTTATCCTCCCTCTCATTTGCGATTAAAATCTGTTTTGAGAATATGCGAAATAATCTCTAGATTAAATTTGAAACAAATGAACCATTCCATCTATCTGTAGAAAAATTACAATAAATTCCATTTTGTTGGACCCCCATACCTAGAACATATTTTCAGTTGGAGCAGGTACCTGTGTGCTATCAGGGATCTCCTTTTTACAGCATGATTTTCAGATAGCACATGGGATTAGATGTAAATGTTAGAGCAGCTTTATCAGACTTTGTCAGCTATAATGTACAAATGATGGCAAACAAATTTGGACATTTGTTAATTCTGCTGATTTGGGGGAAGAAAAGTTTATATGAGATCTGTAACTCACAGGTCTTTTTTCAGTGTTACTTCTTTAAAGTCTGCTTTGTTGCAAATTGTGGCCCCAAAACTATGATAGTGTTCAGAGTCAGAAAGTAAAAAGTCAGGAGAGATCTGTGATGGAAATCAATTCCTGCAGCACAACTCCACCAAGAACCTTTTGTCAACTATTCACTGATAGTTCCTATAGAATGTCTGCTCATAAAGTTCATACGGCAGCTCTCCCAGACCATGGCTGGGCCTGTTGGATTCTTGGTGGGTTGATTGAGAACCAGGCAACACTTAGTAAGGATAGTATTTTCCTGCCTTGACATCAGTGGTTGAACTGATGTAGAGAGTGCTCTGGTGCAAGAATAGTTTTGGGACCCCTGTAGCGCTAACATTAGAAAAAAAGGTAGATCCCCATCTGTCATACAAATCACACAATGCTTTGACAGTTCCGGATCTACCATGTGCCCATCCGTGCAGAACTGTATTTCTGTGTAGTGTTGGCATGTTAATGCAACTGTGTGTTTGTATGTACTGTTGCTATTTGAAAGTAGAGGTGTACTTATGTGTAGTGTTTGAATGTGTTTGTATGTAAAGTTGGCATTTTGTACTGGGATGTATGCACATATACTGCCCCACTCATACACACTGTCACATACACACATATACACACAAAGATAACACATATATAGACACTGACACAAACATGCATATACACACACAGATAACACATGCACACACTAACACATACTCATATGCACACACAAATAATACATACATTTACACACACTGATACACACATACATACACACAGAGATAACCGCTATACACACACTGACACATACACACATATATACACCTATAAACACACACAGATCCACATATATAAACACATTCACATATACACACACAGACCACAATTTGCATAACTTTAGCCACCCCCTGCTGAAATACTTTTTTGTGCAGTAGAGTGGCTTCCCTGGGGTCAGGTGACATCTGGCTAGGTCTGGTCCAGGCTTATCCTCCTCTCTGGTCCTACCCTCTCTCCTGGGCATCTCATTGGTAAAACGTAAATAAGTGACTTGTACTCACTTCCTCCCAGCACCACGGCTTCGCATCCAGGGCCACCATCAGGGGCTGACAACCATGATGTTTGTCACGGGCCCGGCATTCCCTCTCTGCATATAAATACAGCGATGATCGCTATATATATGTGCAGCTGCAGGCCCCGGCTCCCTGTACTTGCAGGGGGGCCCGGCACACTGCATCTCTAGATTACAGCCCCTTGTTCTCATTAGCATTACCACATGTTACTGTGGCAGCGCTACGCGCGCCTCGCACGCCACGCTCGAGAGAGTTAATAAGTGCGAGGAGCTATAATGTACAGATGCAGTGTGCAAGTACAGGGAGCCGGGAGCCCCACCATGCCACCGGACCACCAGGGAAGGGAATCACCCCCCTCCCTGGACCAGGTAAGAGGCAGGGAGGGGGAAATAACATTTATTACATTTAATGTGAAAAAAAATGCTCCATTTGCGCAACATTTACACCACATGCATACACTAGTACAGCATACACTCTGCATTCATTATACTGGCACACACTTTGTATTCACTACACTGACACACACTCTGTATTCACTACACTAGCACATACTCTGCATTTACTACACTGACACACACTCTGCATTCACTACAGTAGCACATACTCTGCATTCACTACACTGACACACACTCTGCATTCACTACACTAACATACACTCTGCATTACCTATATCATCCACTACACAAACATCCTGCATTCACTATACACACACTACATCCACCACACATTCAAACACGCTGCATTCACTATACACAGACACTGCATCTAATACACACACATTACATCCACTACACAGACGCTGCATCCACTAAACACATTGCATCTAATACACACAAACACTACATCCACTACAGAAACACACTACATCACTACACAAACACACACTACATCCACTACACAAACACTCTGTATTCACTGTACACACACTACATCCACTACACAAACACACACTCAGCATTCACTATACACACTGCATCCGCTACACAAACACACTCTGCATTCGCTGTGCAAACAGTATCTAATACACACAAACACTACATCCATCAAACATGCACTCTGCATCCATTGCACACATTGTAATTTACATCAACTGTACACACCACATTCAGTCTTGCATCATTGTAAACGGACTCGGTAGGTGCCCTGTCAAGGGCCCCAAAATTTCTGATGACAGCCCTGTTCGCATCTACAAGAAGTCCAGTCGTGCTGTTATAGAGCCGAAGTGCCTGACCTTGCCCATGATTTGACATGACCATTGGGTGGCCCTTAATGTATAGGCAACCTGATTGACCCCACTGAGCTTGTGAGCACGGTAGTTCTGCCACTACTTGAGGATTATGTCCCCTCCACAGCTCATGTGGCATTGAAGCATTAACCCCTTAAGGACACATGACATGTGTGACATGTCATGATTCCCTTTTATTCCAGAAGTTTGGTCCTTAAGGGGTTAAGAGATCCCCATACTATATACACCAATTGACTGTTTATTCTTTAGATTTTAAGTTTGTTTGGGCAGGGCCCTTGTCACCTACTGTCTTTCCTAATGCCTAGATATGTAGCTATGTGCTATGTGCACTACTGACCTTTTATTGATGTGCTGGGGAATAAGCTGCATATAAAATCTGGGAGTCCAGGCCAACTCCCCGGTCTTGTAACCCTCCCTGTCACAGGTGCCTAATTCCAGGGCCCTATTTTACCTTGCCCTGCAAAGAGCCTCAGAAGGAAGCATTAGTTATTGAATTAATCTCACAAGAGCAGGCATTATGCTGCTAGAGTAGGACCTGTCAAGAATGGGGTACATTGACGTTGTGGCAGGCTTATGCAATGTATGATCATATACTGTAACTTAACACCTGTTATTTTTATCTGGGAGAGGTGTCTTTAAACAAGACTAGAAACATAGAAACATAGAAACATAGAAACATAGAATGTGACGGCAGATAAGAACCATTCGGCCCATCTAGTCTGCCCAATTTTCTAAAAACTTTCATTAGTCCCTAGCCTTATCTTATAGTTAGGATAGCCTTATGCCTATCCCATGCATGCTTAAACTCCTTTACTGTGTTAACCTCTACCACTTCAGCTGGAAGGCTATTCCATGCATCCACTACCCTCTCAGTAAAGTAATACTTCCTGATATTATTTTTAAACCTTTGTCCCTCTAATTTAAGACTATGTCCTCTTGTTGTGGTAGTTTTTCTTCTTTTAAATATAGTCTCCTCCTTTACTGTGTTGATTCCCTTTATATATTTAAATGTTTCTATCATATCCCCCCTGTCTCGTCTTTCCTCCAAGCTATACATGTTAAGATCCTTTAACCTTTCCTGGTAAGTTTTATCCCGCAATCCATGAACCAGTTTAGTAGCCCTTCTCTGAACCCTCTCTAAGGTATCAATATCCTTCTGAAGATACGGTCTCCAGTACTGTGTACAATACTCCAAGTGAGGTCTCACCAGTGTTCTGTACAATGGCATGAGCACTTCCCTCTTTCTACTGCTAATACCTCTCCCTATACAACCAAGCATTCTGCTAGCATTTCCTGCTGCTCTATTACATTGTCTGCCTACCTTTAAGTCATCAGAAATAATCACCCCTAAATCCCTTTCCTCATATGTTGAGGTTAGGACTCTATCAAATATTCTGTACTCTGTCCTTGGGTTTTTACGTCCAAGATGCATTATCTTGCACTTATCCACATTAAATGTCAGTTGCCACAATTCTGACCATTTTTCTAGTTTACCTAAATCATTTGCCATTTGGCTTATCCCTCCTGGAACATCAACCCTGTTACATATCTTAGTATCATCAGCAAAAAGACATACCTTACCATCAAGACCTTCTGCAATATCACTAATAAAAATATTAAAGAGAATGGGTCCAAGTACAGATCCCTGAGGTACCCCACTGGTGACAAGTCCAAGCTTCGAATATATTCCATTAACTACAACCCTCTGTTGCCTGTCACTCAGCCACTGCCTTACCCATTCAACAATATTGGAATCCAAACTTAAAGATTGCAGTTTATTGATAAGCCTTCTATGTGCAACAGTGTCAAAAGCCTTACTGAAATCTAGGTAAGCAATGTCTACTGCACCACCCTGATCTATAATTTTAGTTACCCAATCAAAAAAATCAATAAGATTAGTTTGGCATTATATGAGCTTTGAATCTGCTGTTTAGTGAATGAGTGACTGCACTGGATGTTGTATGTCAGGGATGCTTACAAGGTAGATCTTAAGATATTTTAAAACTACAGCTTCCATGATGTTTCGTTATTCTAAAGCATTCTAAAGGCATGCAAAGCATCATGGTAGTTGTAGTTATACAACATATGTGGATCTACCTTTAGGACACCCCTGTTGTATGTTGTGTGGGATTTTATATAGGCAACGTGAAATATACTTTTTCTATATTTCTGTAACATTTTAAAACAATCCATGTGCTAGTAACGTCTTGAAAGAGTCAAGCAATAATGAGCTTCAGGTATAGCATGAGATAGTGAAATGATACAATTAATGACAGATTAGGAAGTGAATTTCCTGTGTGTTCTGGAAGATCTCTCACTGAGGTGTAATGTAGGGAAATTTGCAGCACTTCATGGCAGTTAATATCTTCCCTTTCATCTCCAGTACCTTGATTATACAGCAAACACACTCCCTCTACTATTTGGAATGACAGGATTTCTTTAAAGATAAGAGGATAAAAGAACAATGTGTTCTCAATATATTTAGTAGAAATACCAGGATATTAAACACATCCTCTGTGAAATCTTAAGGAGGGTGTTAACCATCAATTAGTCTGTTCTCCTTGATACATATCTTGGGTGACTGATAAAGCCTCATGGTATCTGTGTATTCACTGCCATAAAAATGGCATACTTTAGTAGCCCAGATGTTAGTGAACTACATTTCCCATGATCAGGGCTTGACATTTTAATTCCTGTGCTACTAGACTAGAGTAAAAGTTACTTGCCACTTCAAACTTGAAGAGGCCTCAGAACACTCACCAGGACTGAATTTTCACTTGCCAATGCAATGAAAAATTGCATTGGCAATTTTTATATAATGTTCATTCTTTGGTGTTCGGATGGGAAGCCCGAAAATGACCGGTCATTGCCTTGTTTTCTGTGGAACTATTTTAGGACAACACTTCGTGGCTGACCGGTCAATACATCATTCGAATGGCAATTCCAAACCACCGAAGGAATCTGAGTGCTATTTTGACAAAGTGGGCGCCCAGACTCAAGCTATTCAGGGATATGACTTTGTGGGGTTACTACACTACTATAATGTATTTTTGGGGTATTTTGTATTATATTGTATTGTATCTCGTAACAGAGATAATTAAGTTATCTGATTTTGGGCTCAATTATCTCTCAGAGACAGAGACCCTTGGGAAGAAACCTGTGTGTTTTTGCTATGTAGACCCCATGCTAGGGGCTGTGCATAAGAGCCGTGTGTGGCCAAATAAAGCTCAGATGACTCCGAGATCTTTGTTTCATATAGTTACTAGGGAGAGGGTGGGGGGGAGGTCTTACAGCTCTTCTATTACAGCTCTTTTTTCAGCTTCGAGGAAGGAATAGTGGATATATGGAGCTACCTAGTCATGATATCGAAGTTCCGTTGAGACCTCTGCCAAAGTCCTACGTCTGTCCTCTGTCCGTACTCCCACATCTGATGCTCGCCTGCAAGACTTCTCTAGGGATGCACCTTTTCTGTGGAACTCCCTTCCCTTCTCTGTTAGACTTTCACCCAGTCTCCACTCCTTCAAAAACTCGTTGAAAACACACTTATTCAGGAAAGCATATCATTAAAACCGTTATCGGGTTTTCATCGCCCCCCCCATGACTACTCTCCTGCAACTGTCAAAAATAACCTACTAAGTGATTACTTTTCTAGCAACCTATTTCATTTCCCCTACTTTTACCCTTTGTGTTACTATACCCCACATGTCTGTTAGTCCACCCATTGTACAGCGCTACGGAATTTGCTGGCGCTATGGAATTTGCTGGCGCTATGTAAATAATAAAATAGTAATAATAATAATGTATAAAACCTGTTCTAGGCTAAAAAAAAAAAGCAAATGTTGATCACAGATTGGGTTTGAGTTAATACAATGGGGATTGGAAATGCCCAATCTGGTTTATTTCCTAAGTAAATTATTTAGAAGAGAATCATAATCCGTGTATCAGTCCCCTTGCCAGGTATGTCAGGGCCAGAATACTCTTAGCTCAGCTAGTTCCTGACTCAGCGGACATATTGTGCATTTTTTTCTTTATTCCTCCAAGGACAACCAACCCATTGGTTTGTTGATCCATTATACCAGCACACTCAGCTTTTTTCAATCAAACTGTTTATTCCCTTAGAGCGGTACTATTGTGTGGAGCTTGGCTGTTAATGAAATACTAGGATAGGAAATTTATGCTGTTTGGGTGAAGCCTATTAAGAACACATGGGTGGACAGACAGTATATTGACTGTCTAAATCAGTAGGTCAGCTTGGTACCTAGTTAAAATCTGATAGGACAGATGCAAGATTTACTTTATTTTTGTTCCCTATGATGTTTTACAAGTAGGGCAGAACGCTTGTGTTAAACACTAAGCAAAAATCATAGCTTTACGTGTTTTTATTTTGGTATCATAGGAAATTATCTCTGTTTAACAGTGTCCTTTTCGAGTTTTACTAATATTTTAATCATAATATATAGAAAACATTTATTAGCAGAAACATTACTATTCGGCAAGATAAGGTCCATTAGGGAAATATTAATTTCTAATTCAATTAATTGATTAGATGTATAAAGTGAGGCTTAATTTTGCATGAATATATGTCAAATTAAATTACCAGTCCCCAAACTTACGTGAGCTGAGCTTGAAAACTTTCCGTAAACACTGTTGACCTTTTTTGTTTTGGAATGCAATAAAAAAATATTTTAGCCCATAAATATCTGCTTCATCTTTGATCCAGCACTGTCTTTCACCTTGCAGAGTGACAAAGTTATCTGCCAATTGTCTGTTGTATCGGTGTCTGTACATTGCAGGTATTCTTTTCTGCCTGTAGTAACAGCCTGCAATACCTTGTACTAATGCTCACTGTTACTATACATACTGTTTGTGAATATTATATGAACGTTCAGATGGTCTTAACATTCCGTAAGCACATTTGTAGGAAGCTGCAATCCCCCCAAAATTCTCTGGTTTCCTTGTAATAACACATAAGCAGGCTATTTAAAACTTTTTAGTTATCAATTTATATCAGATCTGCCAAATGCGGCAAAACTGTATTTTTGCCTGTATATCAGACCCGGCCTGGGAACATTTTATTCCCTAATATTTTTTTATAAAGAATGGATGGATAAATTAAATATTTAAACTGGTCGAATTTACATATTCGTACTTCAGGTTTCCATGTACAAAAATTTTTATATGAAATTGCTCTTCATGCTTAATTTATGTGATAATTGTCTATCTCCTCTTCAGAAGGGTTATTCATTATGTCAGAAGCAACAATATCATTTGTTTCTTTTGACTGTAGTCGGTTGCATGAAGTGAAGTATAGTGTTACGATCTTTTAAATGTAGCTGTGACAATATAATTTGTTAATTTAGTATATAGTCTGTTGAATGAAGTCATATGTAAAGTTAGATAAGAGATCTAAGATATATAAAACCCTCTAAAGTGGGATCTAAAACACTCTGTTTTTTAATTTGTATGTGTAAAATTAATTACTGGGAATCAATGAAATGTGGTAATGTGGTCATTCGATATAGAGAAACTGATATGCATCAGCCATTGTCTTGCTTCAGAATGTAATGACCCTCACATAACCAAGGGCCAACTAAGAGAGTTTCAACACAACCATCTAAATAGAGACAGCTTTAAATAAGCTCAACATTTTTTCGAATCCTACCCAATTAGACATTGTACCAGGTGTAAATTTCTACTTGCCAGAGTTGGATTTTTACTTGCCAGTGGATAGTGGAGAGTGAAAATTTTGAGCCATACCAGTCTAAATTTCCAGGGCAAATGTTTGTTATTTTTGTATTAGTTTTTACTCTTTTTTTATTCTGTTTTATCTAAACACATCTTATAATTTGTAGAACATATATAATATATTTTATTTTTCTGTTTTATGATACAGATCCTTGAAGAAAACATGAAACTAGAGTGTAAATGTCATGGCGTGTCTGGATCCTGTACAACAAAGACATGCTGGACCACATTACCTAAATTTCGGGAATTAGGATTTGTCATGAAAGACAAATACAATGAGGCTGTCCATGTGGAACCAGTACGTGCTAGCAGAAACAAGCGGCCAACCTTCCTGAAAATTAAAAAGCCTCTTTCTTATCGCAAACCCATGGACACAGATCTGGTGTACATTGAGAAATCTCCAAACTATTGTGAGGAGGATGCTGTGACTGGCAGCCTGGGAACACAAGGCCGAATGTGTAACAAAACAGCCCAGCACAATAGTGGCTGTGACTTAATGTGTTGTGGAAGGGGTTACAACACCCACCAGTATGCCCGAGTGTGGCAGTGTAACTGTAAGTTTCACTGGTGCTGTTATGTAAAGTGTAACACATGCAGTGAGAGGACTGAGGTGTTCACCTGTAAATGAGAAGGTTGTCAAGCCGAACAAACCTGCTGAGCATGGGATCTACAGCCGTACATTTGCACAGGTGCTCAAGAGTGGCTTCCAAAACTTTTAGATTTTTTTAAAACACCACTTCCACCACCCATTCCTGTATTGATAAGTACTCCTAATGTTATTGTTCAATTAAAGATGGGTGGAAAAAACTCATACAGTATGTAGCCAAACCTGAGCAAGAGACAGATATGTCTCCATTTAACATTGCACATGGTCTTCTTTAGGAAAATGTTCCAGAGCAAAAAAAAATCTATTAGACTACTAGGAGAATGGAACTTACCAATGCTTTGATCTAGATGGTTATCACAAATACACTGACCACTTTAATAACATGGATGGGGTAACATGGAACTTGTGTGAATTCCTGCTTAGCGTTTGCAGATTTAGATTGTGAAAATCCTTTACTTTTCTAAGTGATTTCCATTCTCACAAAATTTAATTTAGAGTTTTCATACACATTGATGGCTCTCATCACTGGTTGATTTTTTTTAAAAATAAATCAATATATATATATATATATATATATATATATATATACATATTTTTTTTTTTTTAGCTCGGTCATTATTGGCACAGGGACTTTAATATTTAACAATTTATAATAAACTAATAATTTATTTTAGAGAACAGAACAAACCTATTGCAGTTTGCAATACTTCTGCAAAATAGATTACACATTCTTCTTTCCAGGAGAAATATGTGGGGATGTATATAGTATGTATTAATAAGATATCAGTTTTAGATGTACACATTGGGACACTACTGGCATTTATAGGTGTTTAAAGACCAAAAGCAGGCATCATTTATTGAATACTGTATTGCTGTTTGCTGCTAGTTGTCTGGAATAATCAATCTCAATATCAGCTCAATATTTAACTGTCTACTGGTTGTTGGTTTTGCTTTTTTTTTAATTATTATTATTATTATTATTATTATTATTAATAAACAATTTGAATTCCATAGAGGGTCAGTTTAAAAACCCAGACAAAAAAAAAAAATTAAACGCTTTTTTTTTTGGAAAAATTGACCATAGGATAAAAAGATTATATTTTGTAAGAGAATATTTTTATATGATTATTTTATTTATACTCTGTCTGCTTGTATAATTCTTTAACATACTACACCGAAATGCAAAGCATTCAATCTGTAGATAAATTTTTTTTTAATAGATACCTGCTGATTTAGTCTGTTAACACAAGGTGTAAACGAAATTAAATGGATTTTTCCTATATAATCCATAAATATTTAAGTTGCACAAGAATTATTATTTTTATAAATATTTGTGTAACAATTGTGTTTCCTGAATGATTTACAGAATACACAAATTTGCTATAGGAGTTGTAGCTTTCCATTTGTTACATGCCTTAAATTAATCACGATTAGTATTAAATAGTTAATCACTTATCCCATCCGGAAGAAAGAAAAAAAAAATCTTAATTTGCTTTTTGAATGCGTCAGTCATTAAACAGTGGCGTTATTATTTGTAAATGTGCTGTGTTTGCTGTCCATTAAACCTCTATATTGTGCTACTGTCAAATTTGATTTTATCAGTGACAGACTGTAGACTATGACTGTATAAACTAACATGACATTCTCAGTCTGATTCTCACACATAACTTGCAACACGCACGGATCTCAGCCCAGGTTAAAAAAAAAAAAAAATTATCAACATTAAAGTGCAAGACACATGTCATTTTCCTCACCCCAATTATTTAGAGCAGCATATTTAATTTGATCATTTTTTTTCCTATTATTTTAATGTAAACAGTATTAGACGAGTATGCATCATTGTATAAAATGTCAAAATAGATGTTAGGTTAAATTAATTTATTGTCCGACTACTGAACTGAAAAAAAAAAATGCAAATATTTTTATAAAGAATTTTTTTCTTGTTTTTATCAACTAATGAAAAAATAATAATGTAAAGACTTCTTATAAAATATCCATAATCATTTATAGAAGCCGGTAGTTCTGGAAAGAGAGCCTCACGTTTACTACGTAGTAAGAATAAGCTAAATTTGCTGTGCCTTCAGTGTATTTTGCGCTCCGAAATACATGCAATTTGCAATTTGCAACGGTTTCAAATGTTATTCTTCAGCATGATTTTCTCAAAACTATTTTTTTTTTTTTTTATGGCTTCTTCCAGGATTATATTTTAAATTTATAAGCGGTGTGAAACCAATGATATCAATTCCTCAACTCATTTTAGTCACAATAAAATTTTGATCTGAAATGCTGTTTTTGTTTTTTGTTTTTTTCTAATTTGCTTTTTCCATTCTTATTAAGCATGATGATTTGAAAGTATATTTTGATACAAAAGCCTTTTTAAAAAAATAAAAATAAATTCTAAATGTGACAGTGGTATACAGTGAAAGAAAAGATGACCATCATCATGAATTACAGTTTTCTATATATGGTTGAGAATTTATTTTCATTTTAAGTCCAGATTTTATCCATAAGCATCAAAGACGATTACTATTTTGCTGTAACCCTAAAAATGATTTTTCATAGTGTTACAAAGTTACATAGCTGAAAAGAGGCACGTATTCAAAAAGTTCAGCCTTTCTCACATTTGTTTTTGCTGTTGATCCAAAAGAAGGCAAAAGCATAGTCTGAAGCACTTTCCAGTTTTGCAACACACTAGGAACAAATTCCTTCTTGACCCCAGAAGGCAGTCTGATATCTCCTTGGATCAAGAAGCAATTATCCCACAAATTAAAAATGATATCCCTGAATAGTATGTTGTTTAAACATCTGTACAGACTCTGATAAAATCACCTCTTCAGGCAGAGAATCCATATTGTTCTTGTTGTAAAATCCACTTTCCTTTGTCTTAGACTAAATCTCCTTTCTTCCAGTCTAAATGCGTGACCTTGTGTCTTATGTATAGTCCTGTTTATGAGTAGATTCCAGAAATTACACTAGTTGGTAGCTTGACATTTTGATCTTTGTCTTCTTTCTGCATGTCTTATCAACCCCTATCCATCAGGGGAATAACAAGGGTTTCTCAATCCGTGGTACGCATAACTCCAGGGGTACAATCCAGTTCCCACAAAGGTACACCCAAAACTTTCTGTAAGTCGGCCCTGCCGATGCAGCCGCACCACATGGACTGGGAACTGCAGGGTGAGTAGTTCCATCGGATGGCCAATGCCTTTAGGAATACCTGATAGACATGTACTAAGATGGGCCCAGTTGTGAGCTGTAAAGCTTTAACAGCGCTACTTGGCCCCTGGCACGGAGAGCTGGGAGGAAATGAGAGCAAGTCACTTCCTCCCAGCTTATATACTCTGAGCCCGCGGGAGGCAGGGAGAAGGGGGCCAAGAGCTGTGAGGGGGCAGACCAGGAGAGGATCAAGCCCCCAAGTCCCAACATTCTCAGCCAGCAGAAGCCACCCTCCTGCACCCAAAAGGTAGGAAACTGGATGGTGGCTAAAAATGTTACCTGTATTTTTGTGTGTGTGTCATTGCTTATATCTGTGTGTATGTTATTGTTTGTATCTGTGTATCTGTATTTGTGTCAGTGTGTGTATATTTGTCTGTATCTGTATGTGTGTCAGTATATATGCATGTGTTGGAGTATATGCATGTGTGTCTGTGTGTGTATCAGTGTGTCTGTACAACTGTGTGTGTCAGTGTTTGCATGTGTGTGTCTGTGCATCTGCATGTGTGTCAGTGTTAGTTTCTGGTGGTGTTTGCATCTGTGTCTTTGTGTATCTGCATGAGTTACAATGTTTTTATCTGTGTGCCTGTACATCTGTAGGTGTATCAGTGTGTGTACATGTATGCGTCACTGTGTGTTTCTTTATGTCTGTTTCTGTGTGTCTGTACATCTGTATGTGTGTCAGTGTGTGTATCTGTTTGTGTCAGTGTTTGTATATTTATGTCTGTATCTGTGTGTCTGTACATCTGTATGTGTGTCAGTGTTTGTATCTGTGTATCTGCATGTGTTTCAGTGTGTGTGTCTGTATGTCTGTACAACTGTGTGTGAGTGTCAGTGTTTGCATTTGTGTGTCTGTGTTTGTATCTGTGTGCCAGTACATATGTACGTGTGTCAGTGTGCATATCTTAATGTGCCTCAGTGTCTGGATCAGTGTGTCTGTGCAACTGTATGTTTGGCGTTATTTGTATCTGTGTGTCTGTGCATCTGCATGTGGGTAAGTGTTTGTTTCTGTCAGTGTTTGTACCAGTGTCTTTGTGATTTTGTTTGTGTCTGTATAAATATGTTTCTGTATATATACATAAAAAATAATGATGGAGCCGCAACACTAAGTTAATCAAATTAAGATATATTCCACCAAAAAGTGGACCTAGCAACGTTTCAACACATACAGTGTCTTTGTCAAACTACTGGGGAGTAACTTTTGAAGCTTGCACCTATAGTATACAAGAAGAGTGTTGAATCTCCTACAAGAAAATACTGCGTCCGTATGTATGTCAGTGTTTGTATCTGTGTGTCTGTGCATTTGCATGTGTATCAGTGTTGGTATATGTGTGTTTGTATCTGTATATGTGTCAGCATTTGTATTTGTGTATCTGCATGTGTGTATCTTTGTGCCTGTGTATCTGCATTTGTGTCAATGCATGTGTCTGCATAGACATATATATATATATATATATATATATATATGTGTGCTTGGGGCAGAGGAGGAGCAGCTGAGCCTGGGGCAAAGGAGGAGCTGGGGCAGAGGAAGAGTAAGGGAGCATGGGGCAGAATAAAATGGGAGATGGGACAGAGAGCATATACTTAATATTAATTACAAACATATTACTATAATGAGTGATACACTTTATGAAAATATGTTGCCAAGGGGTACACAAGTTGAAAAAAAAAAGCTGCCCTATAACATTTCTTCAAATCATATACATATGATCAGACATATGTGTCTGTGTCTGTGTCTGTCATTTTTTGGACCTTTTATAAACGTGGCAATTTTTATTGAAATCTGCACTTCTATACCTGGTAGCAGAAACATCTTCCTTGCAGACAGCCAGGCAGGTAGACTTTATTTTCTGTTAGCTCCATAGTACTAACAGAAATGGCAAGCTCATGGGGTTCAGCACCGTGCCTTTCCCTCTTTTCAATGAGTTCTACTACAGCTCATTGAAAAGCATTGAAAAGCTGCAATCGCAGCTCCAGCACAGATGCTTTTCAATGAGAAGCCTCTAACTGGTTGTTTCCCAGGCACAGACTCAAAGTATGTGTGTGAGTGTGTCAATGTTTTTCCAGTGGTCCAGTGGGGGAATATTGTGATATGCACACCAATTTCCTGATGTTCCCAAAAGTGGGACACCTAGAGAACAAAGTCGGATGGCCGGATAAGACCTGAAAATCAGGACTGTCCCACTGAAAATGGAAAGTTGAGAGCCCTGCTATAGGAATGATATGATCAACTGAAATATTAGGAAGCAGTGGATTAGCTTCCATTTTCAGTAAACATGCAGCAATTAAATCAGTGACCAGTGGCAGAGAAGTTCATTTGTCTACAATTATTAATCATTCCTAGATAGTAAATGAGGGTGAGTGAAGCTTTTGGGATCAATTTTATTCTGCAAAGTATATAATAGTAAAAAAATATATACTTGATTCTGGGAGTGAATTAGTTAATTGAAAGGACATCTTCATGGTAGAGTTACTACACTTTTATAAGAGTTGTGACCATAAATCATTAAATCTAGCATTCATCACCTTAAACAAGAAAATGTTCTATATCTATGTTTTTTTACCCTGGGCTTTCATCCTCATCCAATGATGCTCTCTTCTTCTAATCACTTCTGTGCCTGGGGAGTTGCACCACAAATTCACTTGAGTGAATGCTCTCCTGCCAGTACTTTCTTATATATCTCCCAACATTGATATGAGATTTAGATGCCCGTGGGATGAGACACTGCATGTGAAGCCATATCCATCACTAGTGACATCCACAATGGCCAGGCCTGCCCAGGTCTGATGGTGAGCTTGTCTACTTAAGGGTGACTGTCGGACCTCCTCCAAGTCAGTCTACAGTGTAAAAGACCATGCAGAGTGCCCACAGGATAGCACAAGTGAACCTAATGATGCATTGACACTGTGCTGCTAAATGACAGTTCCCAGGTGACACTAAGGAACTAAATCAGGATAGTTGGAAAAGATTATTGATTTAGGATTCTTGAGTCGTGCCTGAATCAGGACTATTGGGAGGACATTACTAGCGGGCTTGATGGTGCATTATATACAATGTACTCTGCACTATTACTTTTACTGTGATAGTAATGTATTTATCACTGTAAAAGTAATTGCTTCAATATTCATACAAGTACTTCTAGGCTAAGATTAATGTAATTTTTTAGGAAATAAAAATGCACGCAGTGGTCCTTTATTCCTTTAAAAACACTAAGTTTACAACCTGCATAGACAGACAAAAAAAAAAGAAATAAATCTAAAATATTTTGAGCTGGACTACCACATATAATTACAACCTCCCTAGTTTGAGGTACCATTTGAGTACCTCACACTGTATGCTCTATTTTTGTTTCTACATATAGCATGTATGTTTAAATTACTTAATCTGTTTACTTCTAACATGCTGGGAGGTTATTCCATGTATCCGCAACCAATTGTGGCATGTCTTTCACCACTGTGCATATTTAAGACCTGGATTTAAAGGACCACTCTAGGCACCCAGACTACTTCAGCTTAATGAAGTGGTCTGGGTGCCTGGTCCAGCTAGGGTTAACCCATTTTTTCATAAACATAGCAGTTTCAGAGAAACTGCTATGTTTATGAATGGGTTAAGCCTTCCCCCTAATCTTCTAGTGGCTGTCTCATTGACAGCCACTAGAGGCGCTTGCGTGCTTCTCACTGTGATTTTCACAGTGAGAGCACGCAAGCGTCCATAGGAAAGCATTGTAAATGCTTTCCTATGCGACGGGCTGAATGCGCGCGCAGCTCTTGCCGCGCGTGCGCATTCAGCCCAGGAGGAGGATCGGAGGAGGAGAGCTCCCCGCCCAGCGCTGGAAAAAGGTAAGTTTTAACCCCTTTTCCCCTTTCCAGAGCCGGGCGGGAGGGGGACCCTGAGGGTGGGGGCACCCTCAGGGCACTATAGTGCCAGGAAAACGAGTATGTTTTCCTGGCACTATAGTGGTCCTTTAATAGTGCAAGATAAACTTAAAAAATAATAAAAAAAATAAACATATAAACATATATATATATATATTAGAATATCAAAAT